GAAAACACAATGTTAAAGAAGGGTTGGAGATGGACGTAGCATTCAGCACCCACCTTCAGCAAAGAGTACTTGCTATAGATAGCAAACTGGAAGGACTTTGTGAAGCAGCTCTTGAGCAGATTTGAAGTGCCAGTGACCTCAGCAGAACAACAATAGTCTGTCTACTCAAGCCAATGGGGTGTGTCATATGTGTACACAAGACCTTTGCTGTAAGAGCCTGAAACTTGAGCATCCCAACCCACCAGAATTTGTCAGCAAAACAGGCCCTCTGTTTCATGTCCAAGTTATAGGTAGGGCTTAAATGATCCCACACTCAGAAGGAGTATCAAGTTGTGTCAAGTTTTAGCATTGCCACAGAGCTTGGGAGGTGGAAAGGAGAGTCCAAGTTCACCTTTGATGTTACTAAGGACTTGTGGAGTCCCGGTATGGTACAGCTGAGATGTTACAGACAGGCAAACTGTCAGTTGTTATGTATTAATTCAAAACTGCACCTCCCAGATCTGCCTCCATTTAGGATGCTAAAAAATATGCTACACACACACTTTTCCATGTGTTTTAGATACTGCCTGGTCAGAGAAAGGCTTTGCTTTTACATAAAGCCACTAACTGAAGTGGACAATCAGATCTAAAAAAAAAAGGTTCAGAGAAAGGTTTAAGAAAGAAGTGCCAGGAAAATTTATATAAGTGTCACTCAACTGGTACCCTTTTCGCCACATCCATCTTTCTCCATTCTTTTTTGATCTGTAACATCAAACCTACGTAAAACCAGAAATGAAGTAGCACATCCAAAGTTGTTTATCTAGATAGCTAGTTTATTTCCTCCAAGGAAATTAAGAAACAGCCTGCCATTGAGCTAAAACACTACTTCATGTTGAAACACTAAGAACCCAAGTTAGCTGATTCTTGATATTTTAGCATCAATACAACTGGTCAGCAAATGCGGGCTAAAGGACTTTTGCATTGTTGAGGTTACAAGTGCTAAAAGTCACAGAGATAAAAAAGAAGATGGGATCTTCTGTATATATATGTTACTCCTGTATAGATGCACTGGGCTCAGACCACTGCTTGAGACCAGAACAGCTGAATTGACGTGGTGAAGTTCCCACCTTCCTAGCTAATGCTCACCGGTGTTTTACTCACTTGGGAGCATTCAAAATTTATATATTTTTACATTTGATGGATCAAGAGGATAAAAAAACAAATGGGCTGAGCAATTTTGAGCGCCCCCGGTGTTTACCATGGCTAACACTACAATAGAAACTGCAGTTTGAATTAGCTCTTTATTTTAAATCTTTATTTTCAATTTGAAGTCAGCTCTAGTTTGCAGTTTTACAGCTTCCACATCACGGCCACATGGATTTGGGGTAGGTGGCACCTCTGCAGCGGCATTCAGCCTGAGCAATGCTTACGTATTTAACCAACAGTCACCCTTACCTTCAGTTATGAATTTCAAACAGTGAGAGGATGAAATACACTACCCAATCATCAGTTATACTAAACTAATATGTGGGACAGGATAAGGCTGTCTCTATCTAACTGGGCATATAGGGGATATGCATGGTGAGCAAGCTGAAATTAGTGTCCCAGTCCAGAACATACTGGTTTACCATTTAATATCCCTATTTACATGGGACACATTACACATGTCCAACACCTGCATTCTGCCTGCCCTGGTAAGGGAATTCCATTCACAGCTTTCTCTTAAAGAATCATAGATCTTCCCAAAAGTTTCTTCCAGGGATTAATCCAATTATACCGGTCCTAAAAGAGCTGACAAAATCACAGTGTAGAATAAGAACACATTTTTTTCCCTAAATTCACCTCCAATTTTTCTTTGAGTGAACAGACTAAGTTACGGGTAATAACAATAAAAGACTGTTAATCACCATTGTCATCCGTTCAATTAATACTCTAGATTTTCAGTCACTGGACTAGCTAATCCAAATCTTCTGTGAACGGCACCACAAGGAAAACATGCTTTACCTCAAAGAAGTCATTTTTTTTCTCCTGTTATGAACAGGAGAAAAAATTCAACCATTTGCATTGTTGCTCCATTGTGTAAGTGGATACTTGCTGATCTCTTGATTTCTAGCTTGGAAAGACAATTTTAACAATTGCAGGATGCTTTTCTGAAATGGGGTGGTTGGTTTCCCTTTTCTATCTCCCCCAGGAAGCATACAACCTTCATACTGTTAGTCTTGGAAAGCACTCACAAAGGGACAAATTGGATGCATTTAGTTCCACCTTTGTCCTGACATTTTCTGTAAGTATTTTTGTGCCCACTAACAGCTTTCTGTTCCAAAGTAGGCGTTCTCTTTCCATCTCAGTAACCCCGTCGCTTAAATTTGAAGGGCCATTTTTATTCCTGTTAGATCTTCTGACATGTACTGCAGTTCTTACAGTATTTTTTCCCCTCCACTGATGCCACTAATGATATTTACATTTCTGTGTCATCTATTGATGTAGTTTTCCTTTCTCTGAAGGACTGTTGATAAATACAGCTAATTGCTATTCCCAAGCAATGTCATTTTTTTTTCAGCAAAAGACCGATTTTCAACCCAACAGGAAATCTCAAAGACTATTCACATGTACAAGACGAGGGGAAGGAACATCAGGGAGCAGGAACGGTGAGTTTCATGGCACTATTTACCAACATAGCCCTGCTTATAACATATCCTTTAAAACATTTTAGCTACGTGGGACAGACTGGCTAGAAGGTTAATCATTTCCCTTCATCCAGAATATCGCAGAGGGGTAGAAAAGGCATTATTCATTCTAATGTGAGGACATAAAATATGTGTATCTGAATAACAGCAGATGGAAACAAGCAGCAAATTCTCACTCCAGAAAATACGAGCTGAGAAGCTACAGTCACTGCTCACCCTGCTAAATCCTGCATGTGGACAAAAGCAGTACCCAACTTGAGCTGAAATCTAACTGGAAGGTTTTGATTTTTAAGCCTTTCAGTCAAGATGGAAGCTATTCCTCACAGAGTCCAAATTACTCCTGCTTCAGCCCAGTCAGCAACAGGTGAGAGGCTCACCATGGATTTTACTGGAAAACTGTCATGGTTTAACCCCATCTAGGAACTGGGACCATGCAGCCACTCGCTCACTCCCCCAAGCTGGGAGGGACCCAGAGGGGAGAATCAGAAGAGTGAAAAACTCTTCCGTTGGAAGAATGCCATTGACAGGTGTGGAGCCATCCCCAGGAATGCTGGGCTCCATCACGTGCAAGGGTTACTTGGGAAGGCAAACGCCATCACGCTGAACATTCCCCCATTCCTTCTTCTTCCCCCAGTTTTATATAAAGAGCATGACATCATACGGCATGGAATATCCCTGTGGTCAGTTGGGGTCCTGGCTGTGCCCCCTCCCAGCTTGTGCCCCCTCAGCCTGCTCACTAGTGGGGTGGTGTGAGGGGCAGAAAAGTCCCTGAGAGCTCAGCAGCAACCAAAACCATCAGTGAACCAACACCACCACGCTCATCCCAAATACAAAACTTGGCCCCACACCAGCTGCCAGCAAGAAAGTTCACTCCATCCCAGCTGAAACCATGACAACAACTTTCTGGAGGACAAGTTCAAATGACCATCAAGGTCCATTGGAAACTTTTAATCTGAAAACCAGATCATTGCACTGACTGAAGCATCTCTCCCCAGTATGCATGCTTCTCCTGCCATCACTTGGCACCCCGTTTCTGAAGAAAGCGTGCTGTAGGGCAGGAGCTACGCCCAGAAATGGGAAGATTTTCTCGGGCTTGCTCTCTGCAAGGCAACTTGAAAATCTACAACACAGAGGTGCTCTGTCCATGTTGTACTGTAAGGAGGATAAATAAAAAGCAGGACTTTTCATGGCTGAAAGGTGAGGGGTGTTTGGGTGTTTTCTAAAATGGCTTCTCTGAGCTTTCCAAATTCCTAGGATGAGGAAAAGGAATCATACTGATGAGAAAACTTAAAAGAAACCATGGCTTCACAATTTACTTCAGAATGTCCTTTTTTATTCTCTCAATTCTCTTCCACACTTTGTGGCATGACTCCTTTTCATCTCCCAGTATCTCTGCCCTGGGAGACAGCATTTACTTCTTTATGTCAGGGGCACATTCAATGTTGAAACAACCTGCCTGAAAATGCTGCTGCTGCTGCTGCTCCGAAGACTCTTTCCACTTTCCCACACCTTTCAGATCCTTTCCTGTAGTGGGGCTTACTTTGAATTACCATCACCCGGGCGCATTATAACACAGAGACTGATCATCACTGTCACAGCTGGTTTATGGTGGGCCTTAGGCACCGGAGGAGACCCCGCAAGGTGCATCCCAACAGCTCGATTCACTCTTGGGGTCTTGGGGAGGGGACGACATCAGGAGAGGGGGTAGCAGCAGGAGAGGTGTTATGCCTAAGGGCCGACTCCGGGATGAAATCCAGTGGCAGTGCAGCATCTCCTACAGCTTTCTGCTCCACTGGCACCTAGCTCGGGAAAGGGGAGTTTGGGGCAGGACTGCTCTCTGTCCGGAGGAGGATTTAAACACCGCAAATCCCAGTCCCACGAAGGCTGGGGGTTTGAAGGTGATGTACGGGGGGGTGCAGACCGGGGACTTCACCGCCTTTCCCGGTGCCCCCGGGGTAAGGACGCCTGTCGGGACCCGGTCCCCTGCCCGGGGTGGTGGCAGAGGGAGCCCCCCAAACCTCTCCATCCCTCCTTCTTCAAAGCTCCCCCCCCCAACCCGCCCCGCAGCCCCCCTCTCCGCGGCACCCGGGGGCGGTGCACGTACTCACGGCTGCTGCGGGGCTAGGCGAAGAGGAGGAGGAGGAGGAGGAAGGGCAGATGTCCCTTGCGGCCGCTCTCTCCCCGCCCGCCGGCTGCTAGATAGATCCCGCCTGGGTCTCTCCCCCCACCCACCCCAACCCGCCTCTCGCCGGCTGCCGGCGGGGGGGCTGCTCCCGCTTTAGCCCAGCCGCCTGCGGAGCGCGGCTCAGAAGCGGCTCGGGGGAGGGAGGAGGCAGGAGGGACCCGGACCCGTCCCCGTCCCCGTCCCCCCCTCCAGCCCTCCGGCTGCGGCTGCGGCGAGGGGAACCGCCGAGGGGTGCCGGCCGTCGGGGGGGCTCTTGGCTCTTCTCTGCCCGGGAAACTTCAGCCTCTTGCCCGGGGAGCATCCCCCCCCCTGCCCCGAGGGTGAAGGAGAGTGGTCCCTCGCAGCCAGCAGGATGGCGCGGACCATGAGACCTGACGACATCAACCCCCGGACGGGGTTGGTGGTGGCTCTGGTGAGCGTCTTCCTGGTGTTCGGCTTCATGTTCACCGTGTCCGGCATCAAGGGAGAGACCTTGGGGGACATCCCGCTGCTGGCCATTGGGCCGGCCATCTGCCTGCCCGGCATCGCCGCCATCGCCCTCACCAGAAAGACCGACGGCTGCACCAAGTGGCCCAAGAACAAGTGTCCGTGCTGCAAGGAAGCCAAGGACCGGGATGTCATGGAGCTGCTGAGGACCCCCTCGGATCTGGAGTCCGGCAAGGGGAGTTGCGATGAGTTGGCCAAGAAAGCATACCAGAAGGACCGGAGAGTGCTGCGGGGTGAGGACTCCGTGTCCATCTGCACCACCACCACCACCACCACCATGGGAGAGTGCAAGAGCCTCATCAGAAAGGTGGAGCAGGAGGAGATGCTGAGATACCTGGAGAACTGTTATCCAGAGATGCCAGGGAATGTGTTCGTGGGAGATGGCTCTGTGTACAGTGCCTTGGAGAAGAAGAGCTCTTCTCCCACCAGGGACAGCCCTGCTTGCCCTGACATTGAAGACAACATTTTTGTTGCTCCTAAAGACAGTATCATTGTCTGCTCTTACAAGGAGAACAGCCCTTATGACAGATACTGTTGTTACATAAACCCCACTGGAGTCAACTCAGACCAGGAGACCATAGTGTGAAAGATGCATATTTTATATATATGTATGTGTACAAAAAACTGCAACTTCAACTTCTTGATAGGGGATAATATAGCTGACTGCACTGCATGGGACAATCCTGATACTATTACAATTTAACCTGGTATGTGACTGATACTCAAACCTTTTGTGCCTGAAATACTCTTTCTGTAAGTAAACAAGCATGTTTAAAGGTTAAAGAATTCAATTCTTCATTTTGGAAAAAAAAAAAGAAGTCACATTTTATTTTCTCCCTTTCCCTCCCTTTTTGCTTTCCTGCTGCCTGTCGCGCCCCAGCCCGTGGACAGACCGGCAGGAGGGCAGTGGTGGCTGTCAGCTGAGGGCAAGAGCTGAACCCAAACTGGAGCTCTCTGTAGGACACAATGTGGTGCTCTGTGACCAAACAGGTCTTGGCAATGGTGTCACTTCGTTTTGGGAGGGATTGAGAGATGTCAGCGTGCACTCCAATAGCTGACTGACGTTAGGGCTTGTAGAAGTGATTTGTCTCTCTGCCTTCTTTTCCCTGGCAGGATTTTATTTTTCTGTGCTTTAAGGCATTGATGTGCTGACCCTGTGGGCTCTTCTGAAAGTATCTTAGGAGCCAGATGATGGGCTCAGGGGAGTTTTCAAAGGCTAATAGCATCAATAGCATGCAAAGTACAGGTTTTAACTTCATTCCCCACTGGTATTGCTTTTGCTGGAATGTTTAACACTTCTGGATTTTATTGGCATACTTGACTAGGAGATTACAACATGATCATGACACAGTTCTTTCAGAGAACAGGAGCAGATGTCAGTGGACTCGGGTCTTAAAAATACATTTCAGTACCTTTAAAGTGGCTTAGGAAAGAGAATTCTATAGGCTGTGTTCAGAGCTGGATCTGACTCTTCTGAAAATGTCACTTGCGTGTGCCTTTTCTAAAATGCCAGATGTTTCTCTGTGGGTGATAAACGGTTACAGCCCACTCAGGGGTCTCAAAACCATGCTCTGCTGGGGGGAGGGGACAGAAGACCTGCCTGCCAGATGTTTTTGTTCACAGCTTATAGATACATAGCAAGAGAAATATTGAGTAACGGGGTTAACCATTCAAAACTGCAGTTTACATGCAGAAATGCAAACCCTGGCTATTCTGTCCAAAAGTAAATTGCATGTTCCAGGTTGTGTATAAAATCTCATCTGGCCTCTACTTTGTAGGTAATAGAGACGTGGTATGGTACAGTGTGCATGCGAAGCAGCTACTCTAAGGGCTAAGCTTTAAGGTTAATGATTACTAAAAGCACAGGGTGATTTGCTAGCATCTCACGAAGTCCCAGTTCCTGTAACTGAACTCTCACAGCTCCAAAAAGTTTCTCTGTGATGGAAGTCTTAATGACTGTTCTTACTTAGCTGGTTCCTGTCAACCGTTAAGTTGTACCAGCCAAATGTATTGAATTGCCAGGATAAGAAAGAAGAAAAACAGCTTTTCTTTTGTAGCAACCTGAGATGTTGTGTAGAAAGTAGCAAGGAATTTTCCACTGAAATGAGCCATTCTTTGCTGCCCATGGAGTTGTTTGAAAAGTGAATGGAAACTTTATGCATCCACTAGTTTGTTTGTTTGTTTGTTTGTTTGTTTGTTTGTAAACTTTATGTACAGTCATTACAGACAACCAGTCTCTGAAGAGGTTTCCAAAAAAAGGAAATACAGTTTTTTACATAAGATAGTTTGGTTTGTTTCAGATCAAACAAGATGTTATGTTAACACTGCTGTCAGGTTTTGGTGGGGCACTGGGATGCTATTAGGATAAATTAAAAAACTGCTAGCTAGTTGGAGTCAGGTAAAACGTTTTGATGGGTGGTCACGGGCAGCTCAGCGTTCAGCAGCAGCACTGTGGGAACAAATAAACACATACACCCTGTGCAGCCCAAGTTTTGTCTGCTGAGCAAAGGAATTCCACAAAAACAGACCCCCTCCCTGACATCTTCAACTCCCACTTGCTCACAGAAGCACTCTGCTGTTGTCAGGCAGATTGCCCCCTGCAGGCTTAGTCACTGCAGGACCTCATTCTGCGATGTACAGAGCGGCTCTTTGATGGCACTGGGAAGCCTTGGTTCAATGACCCCTGAAGCCCACAGCTAAAATACTGCCAATGTGCACGGTGAGGAACAGGGTCTTTCGCTGCTTTCCCTTCCCAAAGGAAGCAGGTGATGGTCTCAGCACCCCATCCCCTCCGTGAGTGCTCGGCATCCCTGGAGAGCACACCCACCACCAGAAAACAGGCTAGTAGGTGGCCGTGTACCACCTTCTCCGGGGCTGTGAGCGATGGCTTGCCTTGCATAAGAGAGCAAAGCGTCAGCCCGCTGGGGACCTAGATTTGTACAGTTCTGCAAATAGATATAGGAGGAGGTCAAGTTTTTCCATTTTGTCTAGGATTAGATGTTCTCTGTCAAAAGTTACACGGGGTTTTACAAGGCAAGGCAGCAAGCTCCAGCGACAAATGGAATGGTAAATGCATAACTTGAGATACAGCCCCGCAGATCTGAGTCATGTGCTTTATTCCGCTCTCAGTGTAGAAAAAAGACAATGTTTGTGTTAAAGAGAAGTGTAATGGGAGTGAAAATTTCCCACTATATACGGAGAGGTATAAAAAAAAGTATGTTTAAAACATGGTATTTATTGGCAATGTCCTTCCTCCATTTAGCTGAGGTAAGATTTCATAACAAACTACAAGTTTAAGCAATATTTCTAGGTTAATCCACCATAATCCACTAAAGTTTATTATTGAACATGTGGAAATTTGAGAATATGTGGGAATTTGAAGCTACAGAAATATATTGGTGCTGCCCCTGAAATCTCATTCTCTATGATTTTCACTTTTTTTCTGCTAGTTAAGCAGAGAATGAAATGCAAGTGGATGAATTTGCCCATTTTAAAATAAGAACTTGTCCAGATAAAAATGAAAGGGTTTCTCTTTTTTCTTTTTTAAAAAATGTGAGATTTCTTCATGCACTATAGTTTTGCCAGCAGAAATCTACTGCTTATTTGGTCAAAGGCAGCATGACAGCAGCTTCAAGCTTTTTATGCAGATTCCATGCCCAGGCCAGAGAATTACAGGGGCTTTTTTTTCATTCGGCTCATGTGGTCCCTCCTGGTGGCCACTAGAACTCGTAGGACCAAGTGCTAATCTTGGAACAAGCACAAATAATTACGTTGCTTTCAGAGACAGCTTCTAGTCCTGGATCTGAATTTGGCTACAGGATACCACAGCTTGGGGTGTAATTCCAAGCCGTGACCCCGAGGTAAGAGCCTCTTTCTGCCCTTGCTGCCTTTATAACACCTCTAGGTCAAAGCCCCACTTCTCAATGCTCTCCTCCAAACAAGGCATGCCGTTCAGTGGAGCTCTGTCTGTGGGGTTAACGAACACCTGGTCCCATTGCACTCCGTGGCCACATGTCACTTGGTCCTGCACTATGGGTGGCAGAGCATATGTTAGCATCTGAAGAAAACTGTGATTTGGCCATTCAGAGAACACTCCTAAGATATATAAAATTTATTTTTAGAATAGCATTTGTCATAGTGCTACGGTGTTTACCTTCTTTTAAGAAACAAGGTGATATTCAGATTAACTCTACCCAGGGCAATTTTGTGTGGCTCTGTTTAAATTTCTATTGCCATAAATAGTGTTTTTACAGTCATACAAGTCATACATTGCAAAGCCTTTAACAGAGAATTGGGAATATTAATCGGCAGACACTTTGTCCCCCCTGAAGCTGGTCCTCTCTGCCTGGAACCAAACAAGTGGGAGGGTGCTCAGGGTGTGCATCCCTGGGGACCAGTGTTATGTTCTTGATCTGTGTTCTGCACCAAGCTGGTGAATTTCCAGAGGCAGTTCCTCCCTGTCTGATCCAGCCTCTCCACAGCACTGGGTCCAGCAACTATTTATCATGTTGTAATTTGCAGAGTAGCAGCCACTGTGACCCCCTCTCAGCATTTCTCCTGGTGCATACCAAGAGCTCCTGCTCTTGACTGGGTGGTGGAATCTGACCCTACATCATCCATCCATCCGTCCGTCCGTCCGTCCATCCATCCATCCATCCATCCCTCGTAAGCTGTTATGTTGAAACATCTGACTCAATGGTCAGTTGTTGCAGCACCGGGATGGGATTTTGCATCTCTACGTGATACCTTTCACATTAGAGGTGCCATAGAGGTGGGTAGGAGATGGGTATCTGTCAGGCCTCAAAGACACTTCCAGCCTGGTTTCCACGAGCATTTAGGGCCTGATCTATTTATACGCAGAGCACAGTCTGCACTCAGAAGAAACTTGGATTTCAACATATTGCCAGCAAAGCCATATTGCTAGGGAATGCAGTTCTGACATGGGAGGTTTCCTGAGTCTTGAAAGATTTCTGTGCAAGTTTCCAGTATCAATTGTATTAAAAACTTGTAGAGGAGTTTCCTGATATGTAGAGTAGGGGAGTTTTCTTGGCACATTCTTAGTGCACAGCGTGGGGCATCAGCTGCAAAGCAGCTCACAATGAGCCCGTTTCTGTTCTGTCTGAGCACACAATCCCTACCGGGACGGCTCTGGTACCAGGGGACCTTTTATGCCTGGTCTTTAGAAACAACACAGAGAGTGCATCTAGAACTCACCTTTAATGCTGTCTGGCAAACTTTCATCGGTAAGCAGGACTTTCAGTTTATCAGCCCTGTCAGTGGAGGAACTCCAGGCCCTCTGTGTCTTTGTCAGGCGAGGAGATGCAGCGATCGTTGGCTTTTAAGTCACCGTTTATTTCCCGTTCAGAACAGCTGCAGGGATCAGCCCTGACTATCCTGTGGTCAGGAGCACGGAGAAGTATTTATGCTTTACCTTTCTGATTACAAACACTGCACCCTGCATAGGTGCATGCACATTACACGTGTGTTTGCTAAAGCAGGTCACAGGATGCATAAGCAGAGCAATATATTAATTTTAAGATCTGCTCAGAGGACCCCTCCGTCTTTCCAACAACTGCCCCCCACATTTTCTGTCTTAAGCCTATTGCAATTCAAAACTCCTTCCATATTTTAGGAGAAGATAATTTTTCTAAGAACTCCATTGTGGCTCTTTAAGGACACACGTTTCTTCCAACAGGCTACACAGAATTTAAATGCCCCAGGACTGTTTTATTTAATCCCTGTGAAATCCCAGCTCCTTACCAATCACAAACTCAAAAATTTCCAGTGCATTCAGTATTTCCTAAAACCTTTGGTAAAAGCCTTGAACCCTTGGTCAGTTCTGACAGATTCAATACTAGCATTTTTTTCAGCCTACAGTTTCATTACTTAGCAAGTGGAAAAGGGTTAAATACTTTGAAAATCTGGCTCTTTACTCTGTTCTCGTGGGGAAAGAACAGAAAAAAGAGGTATTATTCATGAAAGCAAAAGAGACCAAAAAGGCTTCAAAACCAGTATTTCCTGGCTTTGTTAGATTAACTGTGTTATATTCTGGTCACATAGGAAATTCGCATTCTTCCATATGTGTACCTTCTCTTTGGCAGCTTCGCCTGAGCAGGCTCCTCAGGTAGGGACAGGGAGTGCTTTTCTGCCTGGAGGCAGGATGCAAGAGCTACAGAAAAAATCAGGATCTGATGCCAGGAATGTTGTTTTGTTTTCAGATTTCATCAAAACACTTATTTTCACACTGTTATATTTTACTATGAAATGCAGTGATGATTGTTAGCAGTTACATGCACTGATGAACGTAAGGGCGCTCCTAGAGCAGCTTCAGGGCAGGGGGGTGGGAACTCAATGATCTTTAAGGTCCCTTCCAACTCTAACCATTCTATGATTCTATGATTCATATTTGGCATTCACTGGGTAGGAATTACCAATTCTATGGCCATTGAAACCCAAGACAAAATTCCCAAAGCTGTAACAGTCAAAATTTCACGTGGAGCTTCAAGGTCAGAGTTAGTACAGTGTGAAAACCGTTAAATCCAGCACGAGAAGGTAGTTCCAAAAAGGATGCCTGTGCCCTCAGGACCGAGTGCTGTGGGAAGGTGAGGCACCAACACAGGAGCTGGCAGAGCTCTGTTCCCTGTCTGAGGCAGTGCTGCAGGACACTAAAGGACATCACATCGCCTCATGCACGCTCATTAGAAGGTTTCAGCCATTAGGGTTCCCACACAAACACATTCTGCAAAACCCACTCTCTCACATTTCAAACGGGTCTACATCAGACAGTGCATTTTAGCAAATTTTAGATTTGGAGGAGAGGAAATTTTCCCCTATTTTCTTTGAAGAGAACACTGGGTTGCAAATGATTTTATCTTTGAATGCCAATTTAGAATGTAAGAATGCACAATCCAATGTTTTACACTGGCTGGTGTGAAGCAGGGGAAAATTCAGACAGAAATTAGGAGGACAGAGTACTCATTAGCTGAAAAGCAGATGGTAGCCAGCTGGAGAATAATCAGAATAATCTTTCATAGCCTTGTCTTTTTACTGGTCTGAAAGGACTGCCCCAGAAAGACACTCTTAAAAAACCAAAGACTCTTACTATTGAGGTCAGTTCAGATGGAAGGGCTATTAATAACTTTTGGGAGTCTGAGTGGGGTGGAAGAGAGAAATGCTCTACATGCTGGGGAACCTCACACCAACCTCTTATTCAGACATAGATGGTCAAGAGGTCCTGCATCCTCGGACTGCACGGTCAGGCTCAACACTCACACTATGCCCTTGCGCTGTTTGCAAAGAACACCCAATTTTGTTCCACTTTTCTTTAAATAAATTAATCTTTCCGGTTTGACTAATTAGCTGTAGAAAGAAGCAGATAACTTTTCTGTTTACATAAAAAGAACCACAGAACTGGAAATCCTTTGTATATATCGATAACAAGCTAAATAAAAGCTGTTTGCTACCTAATCTAGGGGATAAAGACTAACTTTTCGGTGGCAAAACAGTCTTTTTCCAATGCCAATCTTTGAATAAAATCTAGGAAGTTTTACACCTTGAAATGCATTAACCATTTTTTTTACTTATTGGGATTTTTTTAAATATTGTGGTTATTCAATCTGTTCCTTGACATTCAAACTGAAACCATGTAGTGAAGGTTTATCAATGTAATTAAAGACTTACATAAGTCAATTTTTGCGTTGTGTGATTTATTTAACATGCCTGCCTGCATCCTCACCTGTATATATATGGACCTGCAATAAGTAATAATCAAACTGCACAATCGTTCCATAAAATCACCACATTGTGAATACAGTATTGGTATCCTCTGCGTTATTTTGCATGACCATAGACAATGAACAGCCACTGAGTGAAGAACTGAAGTGATCTACAAAGTACATGTCAGTTCTTCAGTTCTGTTATAACAATTGCTTTCCCGTTTTCTGCTAGGGACATAATTTCCTAGGAAAGGAGGAACACGTCACATATTTATCTGTGGAGAGTGCCATTTTAGGAAAGAATACTTGCTCGATTGTCGGACTAACTCCACATCTGGGATGTGTATCTCGGTGGATTTAAAGCAGCTCACAGATAAGCACCATGCTGGATATCACACTTCAGCTTTACCAGCTGGTAAATGCTTTCCTGCATTGCCAAAGTCATCAGGCCTTTAGCCAGCAGCTACAGTGTCATCCACAACAAGCTTCCTTGCTACGTTTCCTGGGCAGGAGCTGTAACAGGACTCCCCGGGCATCTGAATTTTCAGTAACATCAGTCACAAGTGCCACCGCCCACAAGGATTTTGATTTAGAGTGGTAAAAAGGGGACAGTGTTTTGGTTTGTGGGTTCTATAAAGACCACCTGCCCTTGTACATGAAGTTCTGTGGAGCACCACTCTGTGTTCCCTTGGTGGGTTCAAAAACAGAGATGTGTGCAGAGTTCAAACATGAGGCAACAGTCATCAACAACTTCATGTCCTTATACTGACTGCTGATTAGCACTAACCTCTCCCTGTAGAGTTATATTTACAGCCAGACACATTCTACATATATATGAATATATAATTCTCTCCATATTATTTATATTCTGTGGATATATTATTATATGTAAGTGTGCCTGTGCGGCCACAACAATAAAGAAATAAATCATCTCTGCAGTATGTCATCCCAAGGAGGTAAAAGCAAAGCACATCTCACAGTCTTTATGCTGCAAGTACCTTGCTCTGTCGTACAATCTCTAAGGATTGCTGTACTGTATCTAGCTTCTAGTAAAAATCTGTGTAATCAAATAGAGCTCATGTTTCTGAAAGCTGCCTGTTGCTTCGGTAGTTGACAATGAAATATGGCTGTAGCCATTGACTACATCTGTCAAAATGCCCGAGATAAATCTTTAATACTTGCCAGTTGACTGAGGACACTTCCGTTTGCGTCTATAACATTCGCTACCCTGTACTCCTGGATGAAGAACAGAACATATCTTCACAGTCATCACACAAACTGACATTAGCAAGGGCTACTGTTGGAGTCTCAGCACAGATACCACACTTTCAACAGTCCTTAGAAAATAATCTGGTTCTTATTCTGGAGATGCTGTGTTTGAGGAGAGGATTCAAGAGATAACAAAACAGAGAGGCAGGCTGACACTGCTGTTCTTCAAGCTGTACCTCTTTTGCCGATAACCACCAGACTCTAAGCCTCTTGAAGTCAGTAGGTCTTCAGCAGAATTTGACTGCTACCCAAGGACACGTCAGTGCTGAAGGCTGTCAATCCAGCAAGCTTGCTAACAGTCACTCATCACTCACTGCTAGTTAGAAGACTTTAAACTCAGAAGACACTAATTTTAAAGTTTTTAATTCTAAAAACAACACTAAAATAAAGCAGAAGTGTTAAAACTGAAGTACTGCCACAGAAGAACATATAAAAAAGCACAAGCTTTCACATTCACATTTGATAGAAGACCATATGATATGCACCTTTCTGATAAAAACATTAAAAATGCTAACTCATTAAAAGAATACTGTAAAATATACTATACATCATGCATCACTATAACAGAGCAGAGAGTTTCACAAGGTGTAAGTAGTATTTGTATAACGGAAATGGTTGTATTAAAGGACATCTCTGGATTCTGGATAACCGAAAGATTTATTTTGCTAAGTTTACAAATAAGGTAACTGTAGTATACCATGTATTAATATGAAATTAAAAAATAGAGAAACTTTAGGAGAAAAGTGAAATAAATTAAAAATTTTATTTTCTAAAAATTTGGCTGGACTCTAAGTTGGGATCTCCTGTGACTAGGTCAGCTATGCCTATGCCCCTTGCAGAGATTCTAGTCCCACTCAAAATGTTCTGTATTTTTCTCTGGAGGTCAAACTAGTCTTCCAAAATTCAGAAAGATTTAGCTTTCTACCTCTATTCAGCATCTCTGAAAAATCTAACGTTCCCACTGTGTTTACTTCCCACAGAAGCTGGAGAAGGACTGTAGTGTGCTTCTCCTATCTATCACACAACACACATTCAGCATTAACATGGACCACTAGGCAGCTGCTTGTTTAAGCTACGCAAATTTATACCAGAAAAATTGCATCTACATGTGTTGTTTTGTTCTTGTACCTAGGATCAGGGACAGGCTGGAAGGTGAGGGAGCAGAATAAGGAGTAGTAAATGGTGCTATGTCACCCATAGTCCTCCTCCCAGTTAGTTTTGGCCAATCCAGTTCACACTATGGTGGAACTGCTGTGACTCTTCGTATCCTTCCTTCCTTTCACATACATAATTTTGTTAAGACACTTCAACTCCACTGGCTAAACTCTTCAAAATAGATCAGCCATCAAAGGTAATTTTTTTGCCATAAATAGAACCCTAAAAATTATAAACAGGGTCCACCGTACACCGCTTTGTCTTTAAAGAAAGTCAACACCAGCAATGCTTACAGAACCATGCTCATCCAGAGATCACTTCACGTGTAGTGATGGGTCTCTCTTTACAGGAAATGCTTGCTCAGGAATGACCTTTTCTAAACTGTGTCCTAAATTACACAGTGACTCAGAGGGCTGCCTGATTTCACAGTCAGACAGCTAGCCAGCAACAGTAGGTTCACCACCACTTTGGTAAAAGCAGCTACAAGCTAATGTTAAGAGCAGTTTTTAAGGGAAATCCCAGAGCAGCCAAAGATGAAGGCAGCTATAATGTTGTTTAACAACAGCATGCAGTATCTTTCATTTCTTCTGCTGTCTCTGAAGATAGCAGGTATCACTAAGTGTTCATTCTGTGGAAATATCCCAGACTTTCTTCTTAAATCTTTCCATGCTTCAGGCAACGGAGATGAAACGGAATCAGGAGCACAAGTTCTCATTTTGACTTGTGCCTGCTATGGCTGCGCTGCTTCACCCTCCTCTTTCAATGGGCCTTGCTTTCTAACACTATACACATCTCATTTTTCCCTTCACAAAACCCACTAGGCGTACCCTACCACTAAACAGCAACACTACAATGTCTCTTTCTTTCCTGTAGGTGCAGTTTACAGGCTGGAATGTCTGTTTTTGAAGTGATGGAGGCTGCTGGCAGGGGATTACCCAGCAAAACCAAACCAACAGATAATTCTGGGAGCTACCTTCTGCCCTAGGAGCTGGTGGGCCAGTCTTGTGTCAAATTCCTCAAGTTTTATGCTTTGTTGTATTTTTCCTGCCGCTGATGGGAGAGGGATACCTACGAGTAAAGACTGAGCTAACACATCCACAAGCCCAAAGGGCTGTACTATCTCTTTGCTTACTAATTCAGCAGGTTGATCCTACAGACTGAACACGGGATGGATGCTGGCCTCAGTGAGTGGTTAGTAAGCAGGGCTTGAGAGAGGATCACTGGGAAGGACACCCGGTATCAAACTAAACGAAGCTCTGTTGGGGTCCTGAAGAGTCACAGAAGTGCTGGTGACTGTCTTCTGGCCAGCAGGGGCTTTCTTACCTTCAAGCCAGTATGTTATCATGTCTCCTTTCCCCTAAGGAAGAAAATGAGTCATGGGGTTATAATACTACCCATCATTTATGTAACAATCTTTTTATTACAACTCAAAGCAAGTCCCAAAAGGAGACTGATGTGCCTGTCAGCCACTTTACATACAGGGAAACTGAGGCATAAAACTGCCAGATAGTGGCAGCACTATGGATTAAAACAATGATTTGAAGTCCCATCCAAAACTGGGTCAAGAAGTATGTTAGTCCTCTTATGGAACTCTTACGATGATTTATGATGTCTCTGAGTTACCTTTTTTGATTTCAAGCAGTTATGACAAAGCAACATGCCATGCAGTACTTCCAAGTTTGACTAACTCCTTCATCTCTGAATTATCAGAGTTGTCCCATGAACAAGCCCATGGAATTGGTCCTGGCTTAAAACTAGAGCCTGCTCTCTTCAGGGATGGGAAATAGTCTAACCCAAGGATGCTGAGGCATAGAGAATGGCACGGGTTAAAATTCAGGGACTCCAGGGCACTTTCACACTCTCCTCCCTGAAAAGCCGAGTATAAATGTTGCATACACACCTTGACTTGTAAATTCCCACGGCATACTAACACATACTCTCCAATCTGCTCCAACAGCTGGTATGCACTTGAACTGCACTGTATTTTAAGAGCTGGGCAGAGAGATAATTGTCATATTATTGTAACAGTTTAAACATCTGAGACAGTCCCAGCCCCCTCTGTGTGTCAAAGACTTCAAGACTCATTACTGAACTTCCCCTTGCCTTTTTCATGTCTTTGCTGTCATTCCTCTGTTATTTGAAATGTTCCCACACAGACTCCGGTACCCTGGCCACTTTGTGAGGGCATCTCAGGACAAATATGTGGCTGTCAACAAACACTGCTCTTCACATCCTGCATCTAATATTATTTGTCCACTCTTCATAGATGCCTGGCTGGAGTTACTGACGGGCGCCTTTTTCATCTTGCAAATAAAACCATACATAGTTCCAACTCCTGGTCAATAAAGAGCCAGTACTTTCTTTGAACATAAAGTGTGCAGCAAAGTCTAAACATTAATGAAATTGCCATCCTTGCTCTGTCTCCAAACTTGTAAATAAAAACAGGAAGAAGAGACAATATTACCATAATTCCACTATCTTTTTTTAACAGTGTGATTTTTCCTTAAATGAGAATTTATCTTCATGCAAACCCTGACTGTCGTGCCTTTTCCAAATGATGGAAGAAGGATGAAGAAGGAGGATTGATAGAACAAATTCTGAACACTCGTACTTTTGCCAGGAAGCACAATTTTGCCAAAATTTGGAAAATTACCAAAAAAAACCCCTGGGTTTTATTGTGCCTTGAACATTCTGAAACAGAGTAAATAATTAGTTTCTTTGTTTGAAAAAGATCTCAGGTGGTAGTAGGACTGGCTAAGATTGTCTTATTGATTTTTCTTATAGCAGAAAATAATGGGTTTGTAATTTTTTTGTTTGCTTGTTTAAAGGCTTTCATTAGAAGTCCCAAAACACTCCCTATAGACAGGAAGCACGTGTTTCGACATATCCAAATACATATCTCTGAAATATTCTTTCCAGTAGATATATGATATTTTAACTGGTCATCTTGCTTGGGAACAAGATACTAGCACTCAGATTCCAGATGATGGAAATTTTAATCTACATTACTAATAATTAATTGAACTATTTTAAAGCAATCATCTTAAGGTTAAAACATGTTAATGTAATTGGAGATTCTCAGCTGTACATGGCCAGAGAAAGAAAGAGATAAAAGAAAGCCCTTAAAAGATAAGTTTCACCTTTATACATACATATGTATATATATACTAGATATATAGTTTATAGTGTTGATGTGCCATATGAGAAATAGACTGACATACAGCACGAAAGATGAAATATGAAGAAAGATGGAAGCAGATTTTGAGGGCATTAGTTTTAAAGCAGTTCAGATGAGATGACAGAAGGAGCCTGAAAGGAAGAAGAGAAAGAAAGGACTTATCTGGGAGACTGACAGAAGGAAAATAAACTTATATGTGTTCCACTCAGGCTAGCATTTGCTTTGGAAAAACATATAAAATGGTGAGAAGGAACAGATCCTGGTGGATTCTCAAATCCCCAGGCTAAACCTTCAAAGCCTTCATGTAGGACCACTCCTCTGCCTTTTTGCCTTGTTTTTAGTGGATCATGATAGATGTTGAAAACATCACTTTTTATCTTGAAATTAAACTTGAAAACACATTGGATTTTGCCTAATTATATTGTATTTACAAAGCATTGCAATGTGAGCCATAAAAGTATTCAGCTTCATTTCATGAATGAAAGAAACAAAAACAAGTCATCAAGGGGTCATGAAAATATTTTTACTATAAATTCAGCCAGGAAGGAATAGAAACAGTGGACATATCCACTTATGTCTCATTTTATCTGATTCTTACCCTTTTTTGTTGTAGAGAACTTCAAAGCCGTGAAAATCCCTTTCTGAGACTTGGGGAATGAGGGGATCTTGTTACAAATATCACTGGCATAATCCCCCCAGAGGCAGACTGGACCCAGAAATCAACACTCTCCTTAAAGTATTTGCAGCCATTTAAACAGGACAGGCCTCAAAATTCAGCATAATTTTTTTTTCAGAACTCATTAAGGTATGGTCAAAACCACTTCTGCAGTTTGTTCCTTGTTACCTTCACTGGTAGATTCCATCCTGGAAGCTGTGTTCACAGTGTCTCCAAATAAACAATACCGTGGCATTTTGGTCCCAACAACTCCAGCTACAACTGCCCCTGTTAAAGAAAAGAAAACAAGATATTTTGTCGTTTTAAATCACGTAATCAGTCATACAGCCTCATGGCTGCGTCCTACATTACATTATATCTCATTCATTAACAAGATACAGATTGAGTCTCCTTATTGTCTTATGTGGGTTATACATCTGACTTACAGATGGCTTCCAGAGCCATGAAGGGAATTGCAAAAGGGCCTCAAAGGAGAAATGTGGGAGAAGTGATGATGGGAGGGAGGTAGCGTGCATGAATTAAGGCACCTGCAGAATCGTGTTTCAACACAACAACAGAATATTTTGAGGGGCAGTGAGATAAGAATGCCACCAACAGTAGCTGTGCATGCAGCACTCACTAGTCACACGAAAAAGCAGGAAGAGAAAGCAACCTGCTCCTGCTGAAGGCAGAAAATGAGCATTTTGATTCCTTCATGTCAGCCTCGGGAGATTTAAAATATAGAAGATAGGATCTCTTGCTGAGACAATGCAAGCTGCTAAATTTGCAGATGCTGGCCTGCACAGCATATACCCAACTCTGGTTGTCTATCAAGAGGGAGTTGCAGTCACACACCAGCTTAGATCAGAGAGCTAGGGATCTGAGACTGAAGGCTAGATCAAAGTCAGGAAGCAACTCACTGTTTTGAGAAGAGAACAGCTGAAAAGGACAAGTAACAGACACAGAATGGCAGTCCTCACATCAACAAAGGCACTGGGGCCATGTGGTGTTTTCAATGTATTCCACATTGTGTCCCCAATATTTCAGATATCCAATAATTTATTCTGTTGGGATGATCTCTATGAGGTATGTATTCTATACCACATCAAGAAATTAACTTAATTTTTAATGCAGAGGGAATTCCACTACAGAAACATTTGTTAAACCAGAGGAGGACTGTTTTGCAGGCCTCTCAACGTACCTGAATGGATTCCTGCTCTTATCTTTAGGAGGGTGTTGGGCTTGTGTGGGATCTTAAACGTCTTGCAGACATCCAGGAGGTCTAAAGCCATGCTTGCGATCTCACCGGCATGAAGGATTCCATTCTCTTTGGGCACTCCTGACACCACCATATCTCAAGACAACAACACAACTGTGTTAACCTTTGGAATTACACACAGATTTACCAAAAGATGCTGCCCAAGTTAGAAAACAATAATTCCCTATTCCTTCATATCCTGCAGCAAAGTTGTGTCTGCTGAGCAGAGAAAGCCAGAAACAAATGAAGGACAGGGCAATGCTCATGTGTGTAATTACCGTAGTGCTGAAAAATGTTGCATTTCCTTCTTACTTTTCCATAAGATTTATTCCCTCCTACTGTTTCTTTCCCCCTCCCTCCATTGAGGATGCTTGAAGTGGAACAGGTAGTGGGAAAGTGGATGTTTGATGCCTTTTGTCTTTGGGCAGATATTATAAAGACAGACAATGATTCCCACTGGACATTATCCTATGCTTCCTGCACTGAGTATTACTGTGTAGGTGAAGAGACAGGTCTCTTCAGAATCCCTCAGGTGCATTTGTTCAGGAATTTTATGGTCTAGAATGTGCTCAACCGTGCCACATTAAAAAAAGTGGGATTTTTTTTTTCCACATCTCTCATAGGATTTCCTGTCTGTCTCATCCAAAAATCCTGCTAGATTCTGGTAGGTTTTTGGTGAAACTCAGTTTTAATGGTAGACAATCCCCCAGCAGACTCCCATGACAGCAAATTGAAAGACATTTTCCTAAATGAAAGATACGCAGGAAGATGTTCCTAAAATTTGCTAGGGCTCTGCTAGGAGTTTTCCCCCGGTTGTTTTGTGTGGCCCTTCCCAGAGGCAATAAGCTTGCCAAATCTCCTTCATCTGTTCTTCCTTGTCATCAGATCAGTCTCTATCCTGATGAAACACCCATCGCCCATCATTGTCCACAGCTCAAGGAACTTACAGGCATCTCCTATTGTCTCCACCTTATAGACATCATAGTTATCGATGATTTCATCAAAAGTGGTATAAAGCTTGTTCAAGAGATCTACCACTTGGTAAGGTGTGCTGCTGCTGGAGAGCTGAGTGAAGCCAACAATATCACTGTTAAAACACAACAAAAAGAACATACTCATCCACTGTTTGAATTATTGCAAACTGGTAATTTTAAATTCACAGTAATAATTTCTCAGTGGAACTACCTCAACCTTCTCTTTTTCAACATTTCTTTCACTAAGGATCTTACAGGATATGTTTGTCTTCAAGCTCTTACTTAAACTGAAAACGGGCTTCCATTTAGTCCATTGAAAAGGACCAACTGACCTAAGTCTTTTTGCTCAATGCAATAAACTATTTTTTACAGCTAAGGAAACTATTTTTTACAGATAAACCTTTATCTGCAGCAGACTAAGCAGTCTTCAATTTGGGGCTATGTACAAATGAAAAGAGGGAATTTAATAGTGAAGTGAAGCAAAGACATGCAATTTATATGTTGCTTCATGCACACATAACAAGTCAAAGACTGTAAATCCATATGGGCTCTAAGGATAGACAAGTTTCCTTTACATAGCCAAATACTGGAACTTTTACATAGGCCTACCTTATGAAACATACATGCATGTCTGTGTAACACACATCAAGTGATGTGCTGCTCTGTTACTGCTCCTCAATAATCTCATTTTTTATTTAAGTTATTATAATGAAAAATGGAGAGGTCTGAGAGTTTTGGAAGATGCTCATTTGGAAAGTCAAATGTTGCCATCTTGTATGATAAATGGCAGTTTAGATAGAAATTCTGTACTCATTTAGGAGCTTCACCTCCACTAGGAGCCTAGAAGTTTCTTCAGTACAGTCAGTGCTAGTCCTATCTTTCATTTTTTTGTTTACCTGAAAAAGATGGTGGCACTTAGGTAACTTTGAGCTTGTGCATGTTTTCCCTGCCTGAGATCATCTGCTACTTGCTTTGGCAACATACCTGTTGTAGAAAGTAGAGCACTGTTACTCTTTTGCCATGGATAAAAGCACACAATAAACAGAACATGTTTGTTTAAAGGTGTAAAAGCAATGTTTATAAATGTGAAATATTGTAAGGGTGAAAGCAGTCTTTAGCATGAAAATCTCCTCTGCTGTAATGTGAGAAATCATGGTAAATCTCACTGACAAGTCCATATTTTTACAGATGATCCATAACTTTTGGTTCAAACAAACCATTATCTAGGCATTCCAAGTCAGAGTAAGGTTAGATTCTAATAGTGTGACTTCGGATATTACGAACTCCTTCTTTGTCAACTCTTTGCTAGTGTTTTCTTCCTCTTTTAGGTTTGTTTACTGTCTCCTCTCTGATATTTTTGATCTTCTTTATTTCTCATATCTTGCACTTTCACCGCCTCTTTGTCTCCTATATGTTATACCTGTTCCTTTATCCTTTTTTTTCTTGTGGAATTCTAGAAGATACACAGCCATCAAAAGTAATCTCAGCTCAAAAGCAATTTTCCAATATTTATAACTATACAGAAGGACTGATAAGTAAGATTGAAGCACTATGGATTCTGGAGTCATAGGTCTCAGATGAGTGCACTGATTTTTTTGGGGGGGGGAATATAAAAAGCAGTGAAATACAGTTTTGCAAGGAATAATTATAGTAATTCATTGGCAACTAAATGTTATCTGTTAAAAAATCACTTATCAAAGGTTTCGTACTTGTAATCAATCTTTTATAATAAAATTATTATTGACAACATCCAGTATTTTTGCTATGTAACTTACTATACAATAGACGATCAGTCTTCTGTTTTTCATGCATTAAATCCTGAGTTCTCTCAGCAACAAGTATCTCCAGATGTTTGCTATATTTCTCCATCTAAATAACATAGAGAATTGCATAAAATAATCCTTTTACTGAAATATATTCATAGTTGGATAGGATTTAAGCTTTTCAATGATTCTACTTTGAAAATATTCAGGTAAGTAAAGACTCAGGACTGAGAAAGCTAATGTTTTCTTACAAAATCCAAAGATCATATTTCTCGCTAGGTTTCTCTGAAAAAACAGAAGTTTTCAGTCCCAAAGGAGTTGGGAGAATTAAGAAAAACTGACAGAAATGGCATAAGAAGGAAAGCTGGGTCTCAATCAGAACTGCAGCTGCAATCAGCCCATAGAGAATGACTGTTCTTATAAAAAAAAGAAAAAAAAGGGTATAAGATCAAAAAACAAACATGAAGAATAAAGGTGAAAGTTATTGCAAGTAAGCATATTGACTTGGACTGGATTAAAAAACTTAATTTACCAGAGTCATCATCATGTCAACAGGGCTAACTTTATTAGGATTCATCTTGTATAACATTTTCTTGACTTGTTCAAATGTAGGCCTTTGGGCTGGATTATTTTTTCTGCACCTTCTGATTAACTGCAGCAGAGAAGGAGAGTGAGAAATGCAAACAACCTTTTGTCATTCCAAGCACAGGCAGTGTTTCAAATTACTATTTCTTTCTTGGTGCAAACTGTTCATGTGAAGCCTTATCTGTAGCTGGTGAAAAGTGGCAGGGCTATGCTGCTCTCCAGAGTTCTACAGATTTATGCTGAGTGAAGGAAGTTAGTTCATCAAAATGCTGCTGGGGGAAATCACGAATTAGATGTTCATGTTCCTTCTGCCAAACTTTGCTTAAGCTCTTCTCTCATGCTTTAAGACAGTGTTACACTGCTGGAGTCAAATACTGTTTTCAGAGGGCTTACCTGTACACATAATTCATAGGAGATTAAAAACTCAACTACTTCTTAAGAATGTTAACTCCTGCCTAAAAATCCAGTGTTGCTTTTGAGAAGTTTGTTACATTGAGGTTGCTACAAACCACCAAAAGTGAATTACACAGCTCTCAAGCTGAAATAAGGATGCCACAATCTTGTTCTGATTTAATTGAATGTGGAGGGAGTGTACTTTGTTTTATTGGGCAGTTTGTGGCTACTGATCACATAGACGTTTTGCACAAGAATCAAATCAAACTATTCATTTCCCTGAGACACATACTTCACTATTTGAAAGTCCTTTGGCAGTAAACGAAATAGATAATAATAATATAAAATATGTATGGAACTCAACACTTCATAATAAACTGAAAATGCACAAAAATCAATGATTGAATATTAAAAACATCATTTATTACCCTGACAATTTTAGGGGACAAGTGACTTTTTTTTTTATTAAGGGTATTTCATTGTGCCTCCTTTGAGATGTACTTCTTGACTTCTGGGTTCTTTACACTCATCAAAGATAATATCGCCATAAAACTTCTGTGATCAGTCTTAAATTCTCTTCTACAAAGAATTTTTGTACACAATATTGCACCTTACTCACCTCTATGTAATCTGTGGTACACGGACAAGAATTCTCAGCCTTTCCTGAAATTAATTCTGCCAAAGGTGGGCACCAAGAATATTCAGCTGATTGCATGTAATCTTTCTAAAGAAAAAGGGATTAAATAATGTTGAAAAAAAGTACTGCATTTTTCATACAGCCATAGAAAATATATTATTATGATCATCATTATTTTTATGACATCTTCACTATAACTTTTCTACATGAGAGTACAATTAAAAAAAAAAAAAAAAAGAAGGATATAACCCAATCTAAATTGGGTAGCCTTGTCTAAAATCTCTTTCACGGCTGAGAGACTTTGATCTCAGGGTTTATGTTAGATAAGCAACTTTTGAAACAAATAAACACCTGGCAAGATATTGGGAAACTTTTGAAAAAACACATTATTCTATTATCATAAACTGTCAGAAATGGAAGAATGGCAGTTTCAGGTCTTTGGTATTAGAATTGTTGTCAAGCAAGTTATTTCAGACAGTACATGGTTACATATCTGAACATCTGGTTTCAATTTCAAGGTGCATTTTTTTATGTTTGCCATTTAGCACTGAGTACAAGGCACATGCAAAGAAGACATTTTCATTATAGAGAGCAGCTTATTTGATCTTCTAGCATATTCTTTCTTACTGCTGCAAGACTCCACCGAAAGGGCCTGTGTATGGCAGGAAAGGGAAGGAACATCAGGAGAAAAAGGAAGATGTTGTGGCAAATATGCAGTTACTGAGAGTTTGGTTTATATTTTCAGCAGAAACAGAATCAAAATTGTCATGCGATCTTCAAAGTTCATCTTTACTTACTGGCATAGGGTCACTTCTTGTGGCAATTTCTAGTAAAATGATGGCATAACTGCAGAATAAAAGCAAACCAAAATCCTAATAAAATAACAGTTAATAGAGTCAGTGACTACTTCTTTCTGTGGTTTCTTATTCTTCCCTATTTTATGACTGAAAGCCCAGCATTCCAAAGGGAGGATGGCAACAGTGCTGCTATCTGTTACTAGTCTGTGTTTTCAGAGATCTGTCACTGATCATTTCATAGCAGTCTCTCACACAAAGATTTGAGTTTGATGGACAGCAAAGCAATTTTCTCTGGAAGAATAATGGAATCCGGAGGGCATATGAGCAGGCACTTAGATGGTACCTACCAATTAAATATACAGGTTTGTGCTGTAATCAACGGGCAAAAGCAGGTTCATTAGGATAATCAGCTGGAGAAGTGGCTTCTTTTCAGCATAGATCACTATGTTCTGGAAAATCTCTATTATAAAGTCAATGATGAGACTGGCCAGAGTGGTTCTTTTACAGTATGCATTTTGCTGGCTCTTTCTGAATTATACTTTCATCATCATCGTCTTTATCAGATGAACCAAGGTCAAATACATTCATCAAGGTTGAAGAATGGAAAAAATGAGGTAACAACTGGTTGTTCAGTCTCCTTTTGAACTCATTAGAGATCTTTCACAAAAGTGATCTCTAAGAAACTAGCATTTCCTCCAGCAACCAATTCTGATAAAGATGCTCTTGCCTCTTTATGTATTGAAACTGTGTACTAATTAACTCCCCACATGCATCTCTACTTGATAACATTTCTTTTTATGGGGAATATTGGTTTGCAATCTGTTGTACTGTTAACGGTTGCTCTTACAGATGAATCATTCGCTTCTATGAAATTCTTAAGGAATTCTAGCTCTATAATGGGGTATGCCTATCTATTTTTCAGTCCACTCATGGACCACCAATGGCAAATAAAATAAGCATTTAAACCCTGCTGAATAATGTTGAAATTAATCTGATGAGATTTTTATCTTAATTTTGGGGTGATTTGGTAGCAGAAAGGAATACCAACCCTGGTGAGACAGCAAAGCTGAAACAAATTTTCAAGGAGAGTAGTTAGATAATGGTAACTCCAATAAAGCAGTATTGATTTCATTCAGCTTCAGCACCACTGCTCAAAAAAAGTCCTAACATAGCGAATAGGGAAATTCACATAATGATTACAAATCAAGAAGATCCAATCTAGGAGAAACTGTGACTGGAAACAGCCTCTTCAGCTCAAACAGGAGCTGCTTTCATGCTCCTGTTCTCATTTCCATTTTAGCTTTCCCATCTGACCAACTCATTCCCTGGAGAACTTTAAAAGCGAGTGATTCATCTGTAAAAGCACACAAAATTACAAATCCTACTCCTGCAGTTTCTACTTATTTTTCATTTGGGCTATACCTTCAGGAATATTAATGACATATTAATTTCAAGGCTGGGACATTGCTCCCTGGCCAGTGAGCCAATGTACATGTATGAGGAAGGCTTAGCACCTGCTCATATCATCCAACACAAACGGTGTGAAAAAAACAGGTTCTGAAGAATAGCTCTGTTAAAAAGACAGCCCTTTTAATGCTACAGGTTACATCTCTATCTTTGCTTCCTGACTGAACATTGCTCTTCTCCTTTTTCTGATTTCATCTCTTACTGTTTTTTCTTTTTTACCACGAAAGGATGAACTGCAGTACAACAAAAGAAGACCTTGATTTGGCAGACACAGGACTGACAGCAAGATAGATTCAGTGAGCATTCAGTGAATCTGTCAGAAGTTCATTGTACCCATCTATGGTATGAGCAAATCAGCTCTTAGCACTATTTTAAGGGGAGTTCTTGGCCAGAAATGGCTTCAGGAGGCCAAGTTGCCTGCAAAAATAAAGTAATGACATCTAACCTGAACAGGGGCAAAGCGTGAACTAGACAACCACCAAGGAAACACTTTCTGGAATGTATTTTGGCTGGGAGACAATGATGAACTGCAATGCATTAAACAATCTCAAAATTACTGCTCACTTGGAGCACAGTACTTTCTAAGACCAGTCCATGTTGAAAAGGTAAAGACCGACCAGCACAGGACAAATGACAACAGCCACAAGTAGCAACACAGTGACAAACTGCCTTTAGCTGAGCTATTTTGAAGCAAATTCTGAGGGCATGTTTAAGCCTATAGATATGAATGCTATTGAGTCCTCACATTCTTGCTTACATAATCTGATGGAATGGATTACAATTTATAATGTTCTACCACATTTTTTACACATACATTTCTTTACAAGGGAATAATCATAGAGTCATAGAATAATTTGGGTTGGAAGGGACCTTTAAAGGTCATCAAATAATATGTATTAATCCAGTAAATCTTATATATAAAATCATACCTTCAGTCCATATAATTTTTAATTAATCCTAATTGAAAAAGGGGGAAGATTTAAACAACATTTCAGCTTCTGCAAGCAATTTTTCGATAAATGTCCCATATTAGTCACTTAAGGCAGTAAGTGTTTGTCATAGGCTAGTGTAGGCCAGAGTAAATCTCAGAGTTTTTGATAAAGGCAATTATAGCTACTCTTTGGTAAATGTTAATGAACAGTGCTAATAACCATGCCTTTTTCTGCTCAACGGTGTGGCACTATCAGCATTTCAATCTGTAATTGAATTCCAGTTCTTTATGTTCTGTTAGATACCAAAGTCGCCAGGAAACAGACTTCTCTGGTCTGGGAATGTGGCAAGAAAAAGTAAGAGAAAAGGGCCACAAAGTATCTTGTACTATCTCTCTGCATTTTTTCCTTTCAAATGCTTTCAGCAAACTACTGGAAATAAGCAGACAGAGGAAGTATCATTGTTATGAAATAGAATACACCACGAACACAGTGATTTTCCTACTTAATACTGCAAATTCGTAGGAGAACCAAGAAAGATGTAATTTACAAAAAAAATCCTAGTTCAATGACTTTTTTTATTGGAATATTATTCTCTGAAAGTTCAATTGTAATCAGGTTTATCTGAAAAGTGGTTGGATAGAAGCTACCCATCACTGGCAAGGCTAAAAATGATATTCAAATAAGCCATTGCAAAGTGATCTCCTATAAAGGCTTTCAAAGTGAAAGGAATGGAGCTATTCACTAGTGCATCCATTTCTTTTTCCTGCATCTATTTTTCTCTGCAAACCAAACATTGTCACTGTGTGTATGCAGCAAAATGATGTATTGATGCTAATTATACAATCATGGGATGTGTCTGCGCATGATGACAACCTGGAAAAGTGATGCTATTAACTGTTAAGGTATTTCCATTATTGGAAATAACCTACTCCTTCATAAGAAACAGCAACAAAAAAAAAATCCCTAGATAACAGCAGACCTTTATACCTTTTTTACCTACCAATCCAGAGTAACTCTGTATAAATCATTAGACCAAGTCTACATTTATATAATGTCAGTGAATTCAGCATTTGGTTATCTACCTTAAAAGAGAAGATATCATGATATCTATATTATTCTATATTGCAGGATCAATCCTTGCTAAAATACAATCAAACGTATACCTGGGGTGACCATAGAATTACACTGAACTTGACTGTGATTAAGGAATCCTCAATTTGAGATGGGGTTTTTAAATGTGAGAAATAGAATCAGTTAAGTACCTGTAGACATCTGCCATAGAATTGGGTTCAAAGTCTGAAAGGGAATGGATTTCAGGAGCTGTGTAAATCTGTATCGAATGCTGCTGGTATGAGCTTGACCCCTCAGAAGAATCTTCCTTTCTGTACGACTTCAAACCATAATCTAACACGGAAGAAAACACAAAGCAAACTACTCAATGGCTGCTTCTCTGAAACACATGCATTAGTAGGCAGTAATACACCTTGTCTAAAGGAATTGATTTTCCCTATTTGAGATATACATCTAAATCTAAAAATAATATTTGTCTGGTGATCTCATCCCTCTAAACCACTTGCAAATATAGCACCATTGCTAAATATTTGGGTGAGACTGCATAACAGCAGGGGATTTGAACTATATAGCCCCTTCCAATCAGAAATATTTAATGATTCTAGAAAATTATATTCAGAGAATAGGCTCACTTCAGTGCAAAGTTAGCATGCAAATGCAGGTTTCTGTTCTACTTGTCCGCAATCCTTATCTGTGGTTGTAGGTTGCTAGAGTAAGTACTAGTTAGACAGGCTAGAACTGCTGAAAATCAGATGGTGGGCTTCACTTGCACACCACTAGCTTCAGAACAAATAAAGAATAATAATAAAGAAATGTGAAACATCTTTGCAGCTGTACTTTTAGCCTAACACAGAAGAGATTCTCAGCACATCACTCAGCATCAGAGAGAAGGAAAAAACAACTGGCTTCAGTTTTCTTTCTGATAAAAAGAGCACTTTGTTGAGTGCATGGGAAGGCAGGATGCAGATTAATTAAGATAATCCTAGAGCATCATTCCTTATGTTGGAGGTCACTGAAGTTTTTCAAAGAGCTCCTATATTTGTTATTTGTGAGGTTTGTATAACATTATTGCATCCAGATAAACCATGAATATTTAAAGCCTCTACAGTCCCGCCAATTAACTTCTGAGCAATTTCACAAAGATCCCATTTAATTCAGAGGAGCTGTGGGAAGGTGATGCAGTTGACGTAATCCAAATATCTCCATTTTTCATGCTTTTCTCCAGAACAGGGTCTAGGTAAAGTAGGCAGTTCTGAAGGCAACAGGATATGAAAAACAAGTTGGAGAAGTAGGCATGGCTCTGTGTAGGAGCCTTAGCCATAGGATGACCCGTTGAGAGATAAATCTGTTGCTGCTGTTTTTAAGATGGCTCAAGGTTATAAAGTGTGGTAACTACTTTGAGGAGGAAGTAGAAGAGATGATCATTGCTTTCATTCCTTTTGGCAGCTGCAAACTAGACTCTCCAGTGGTTTTCCTGTTCCCACAGGCTGTCATCCTGTACCAGGAGCAGCCCAGACCTGTAGTTCTGTCTCTGGGAGAACACAGTTCAGTTTTGTGTTTTTTCAGGACTGAAAAGCTCTGAATTGAGCCTACTTTTCTCCATGAAACTACCTGGTGTTTACCAGCCAGCATTACTCAATGCCTTTACAGCACTGTCCATGGCTCAGGTTTTCTCTCTGTATCAGAACTGGGGATGAGACAGAGTTTCTGCTCAGATTGATGTTGATAGACTCCATCATTTGTGGGATCTGATGTGTGCATCAGTGGCACATGTTAAATGACCTGACATGATAACATAATGAACCTTATTTCAGCACAGGGCACTTCTAGTGAAGGCTGGTACAGTCAGCATTTCTGCATGAAAGGTCAACAAGGAGGTGGTTGGGAGGAGTGTTGAGTGTGAAATCTGTTTGCACTAGTGGGTTAGCTGGACACTTTTGAAATTTTGTTTCCTATCTTCTCTTTACCTGCAATTTTACAAACCCATCGGTCATCTATCACGCAGTTACTAGACTTCAACCGTCCGTGATACATCTTGTGGTGGTGAAGATAGGCCATTCCTTGCGCGATATCAGTAGCAAAAGAAAACCTGAAAGACAAAAATCAGTGAGTTAGTATTTCCACTAAAGCTTCACTCAAGAGTGGCTGAAGTTGACAGAAAGCCTCCCTATGACTGCATTAGCTTTCAATTTGTGTCCCCATGCTCATTTTTCCAAAACATTTAAGGCAGGTACCTGAAAGCCCTTAACTCCCACTCAGTTGTCTGAGTCCACAGGCCTTTAGACTCTTTTAAGACAGCTGAGTTTCTTCTAGAATTTCCCAACACCTTGGTATCCTTGAGAGTGACTTCAAATGTTTACAAAAGAAACAATTTTTTTATTAACTTTATTGCTTTGTTTGGAGGGTTTCTTCCCTTACAATCTTATTCTTTGCTGAAGGCAAACATAAGGCAGAAGTAGAAGGAGTATGCCAAGAAGTTTGTTCTCAAAAAAGTAATATCATTGCCCTTGTTGAAGTTTCATTGACAATCTGAAATAATTTTCTATATTGGTAAGTATACTAAAGCATTTGTAGGTATGCTAATCATTTCACCAATGTGTTTTCACAAACATATGCGCTGATTTTTAATTAAATGGGAATGCCCAAGATATTTGGGAACAAAATGAAGCCACCTGGGAAAAAAAGATTTAAAAACAGTTTTGCAATATAACTAGAGGTGGGTTGAAAAGTTATTGGCTTAGCATGATTAGTGCTAAACGTGTGATTGCTTAAAAACCCAGAAGACAAGTTGGGCTGGATATTTGAATTTGCTTGCTTTTTTTCTTCTTCAGTCTCTCCATATCACAGTACAGGCCTGTCTGTCCAAGGATTTTTATTTAAAATCAACATCTTGTCCTAAAGAGCACATAGCACAGTCTGTATCATTTAGTTTTTCAAAAGTCTTTTTCTACCTGAAGCCCCAGTTCAAAGGAATATCTTCATTGAGCAGAACATCACTCAGGCTGCCTTTGGGGCAGTACTCTGTCACAATGGCGACATTTGGCACTTCTATACAACCTCCAATGAATTTGCAGAGATTGGGATGGTCAAGTTCCCTGTGAAAATGAACAGAAATCACAGCATACCAGTAATTTTCATGGATGTCCCTCCTGCTTTTTGTACAGTAACTGGAAAACCAAGTAGCTTGTCTCAAAATGTAAGAGAGAAAAGTAAAACAAGTATAAGGAGATTTTAATCTGATGTCAAAGCAAAGTTTGAAAGAAAGAGGAATGTGAATTTACAGTCAGATTTGGACAGACAGTAACCCCTATAAAAACAGTGTAAAAATGGAACAACATACACTTCTGAGTGTAAAACTTCTGAGGTTTTACATCTTACCTCACTTGCTTTACTTCTTTACGTATGGATTTGGACAGCGTGAATGTCTTCTTCATGATTTTCTTTATGGCCACTCTTCTACCATCACTGAAACAGAACAAAATGCTCTTTACATAGTTTTAGGCCAACTTCATAAGCCAGCCAGGCTATAAAAATGGACTGGCTATTTTTTCTAGATTGAGCAGCTTCGTATCTCTAGAGATGAAGTACAGAATTTTAGCATGTCCATATGTGGGTGTAAATCTGAATGTATATGACAGGTGACAGGGCCCTGTTTCTATAATAAGGGAAGCACGAGTGATTACATTCAAGCATCCTTAATCTGTAGATGACATTTGGAACATGAAAGTGTTAGATTCATTTGAGGTGGCTGGATGATGGAGTAGCACCAAAGGAAACATCAGAGCTAGGGAAACATACACAGCAAAATTGCTGCTATCCATTGCTTCTGTCTGCTGTTTTGGAGATCTACCACTGGTACTTAATATCCTTCTGTTCTCATGGGATGAAGTTTTCTCAGCAGTGAAGTGGCTGAATTTGATAGACAGCAAAGCAATTTTCCTTGGAAGAATAAAGGAGTTCAGTGAAGATATATGCAAGAGTATAAATACAGAGTACAGTGTCTGTGGTGTAGCAGATACAGGTGCATCACCAATGAGACTGAATGCTCCAGTCTTACATCTTCTCACCCTTAATTAATGTGTTTGACCTTGATTCATCTTAGGAAAATTATGATCATCAAAATGTCGTTATTCAGAAAGAAGCAGCAAAAATGCTCACTGTAAAAGATCTATGCTGGACACAGTGTCTTATCAAGGAAATGGATGTCATTTTCCACAATAGTGATCTATGCTGAAAAGGCAGCTGCTCCCCACCAATGATGCCAAGTAAGCTCCTCAGTCCTGCAAGGTACAGATCCTGTGCTGTGCATTCAAACGGTAGGTATTACTTCCATCTTTGCAAATGTTCCACCTGTAATTATATTATTTTTATGGAAAAAAATTTTTTTGGATAGCAGGATATGGCTATACTCTTTGCCCATATAGTTATTATGATGCGCACCTTCATAATGTGATCCACAGGTGAAATGGTCTGTATCTTCAGTAACATCAGCTGGTTTCAGGACAAGATTTCTAGTGTGCTACTGTATAGGAGGCTGTTCTTTAGTGCAAAGAACTATGCACTGCCTACGGTTTGCAAAAATGCTGCATAAAAGCCCTGGTTCCAAACGTATTTGAATGGTAACAGCCATTCATTTACAGATGCAAGACACATTATGCAGCCACATCCTTTTAACAAGTCCCCAGGAGTAAAGGGGAAATGATAGCCAAAACAGAAGCCTGGAATATAAGATATTCCACAGCCAGTATATGGTACAGAAGTCAGATGATGATATTAACTTCCTGGATTTGGCCTAACGAGAAACGCGAGCTTTTGTGTGACCTATTGACAGCAAAGTGGCAAGAATCAGAAAGCAAGGTGAAACTGTAGTATAGTAGGTAGTGCAGTAAATGAGTAATACATTGACTTACTATCTCCCAGTCTGGGTGAAGTACTGTTTCCTGGAGACATTAGCAGTAGCTGTGCAGGAGCTCAGCGCAGTGATACAGCTGGCATTGGAGTCGCTGGGGGCTGGGGCAGCACTCATCATGCTTCCTGTTGCTGTCCGTACCACGCGATCTAAACAGGATGCAGGGTGAGAAAAGGCACCTGAAGATGCATATAATTGCAAAGGTGGAGACTCCAGAGGCAGAGAAATACAGGGAATTCTCCAAGTCTTTGCATCTCAGCTGGTCTTACTAACCATTAAGACAGAAAGCCATTGCTTGGAATGTGACTGCTGCATAAAGAGTAAAAAAGTTCCAGAGCTGATTCACTGCCAGACATCTTTCACATTAACCCTCAGGATTTGATGCAAGTTTCATTTCTCTGATTAGCCCTTGCCGCAAGTCAGCTGCTGAGGACAGAACCCAGGGAAGCAGAGCAAGCCCTGTGCCATATTTTAACAAGTCTATTTGGAGCTCCGAGAAGACGGTAAAGTACAGGGATGTGGGAAGTGATTCTGACACCAGAGGAAAGCCAGAGAAGAGCAACAATACAGTCAGATGAAAAAAAAATCAGCGATCTCAATCGTATTTTTTTAAATCTCTGTTGACCAGCTCAAGGTAAGAAAATGGATTTCAAAACAATTTTAATTGATTATATATAATTTCACCATCACCAATTAGAACCCAGATTTAGCCAATTAGCCTCAACATTGCTGAAACCTCTTAGCTCTCCCCGGTATCAGTATCCAATGAAGTGTTGCTGAGGAAGTTCAGCATCTCACCTTGCATCAGGACTGCCATGTTCCCTCACCATAGTATTATCCATATGCAGTACAAAATTGCGCTGACATTTGGAGTCTTTCTACAGCATTTCACCCGCAAATCATAGAATCATAGAATGAGATCCCTCAGAAAGCTTTGAGAGTAACAGCCTCTGTGTGTGTGTATATGGTGCAATGCTCCAGAAAATGACTTATCTTGAATAAATAAAGCTAATTTCTCACAGTTCAGGCTACATGCCCTGGGTACAGAACTGCTGATATATTTCCATTTAGACAACTGTACATTTCAGGCTACTATGGGTATCTCTGGACAGCTCTGTCCAGAGGAGACATAATGTCTGTTTCCAAATCTCATCATACTATCAATCTTCATTACTCTTAAGTTGTTAATTATCACTCCTAGGTCTTAGACAGTATTGTTTCTTTGCAGGTTCCTCTCCAAGAAAACTATCTTTCATCTTGGATTTTCCAAATTAATTTCTCATGTGTTAATTTTTGATCATGCTTCTAATTCCCTTCAGTCTCTTTCTATTTTTCTCCTCCCATGTGGTGTTTATGACCTCTTCTAATTAATTATCAGCTGAAAATTTGCTTGTGTTCCTTTCTGCAATATTGAACAACACTTCTCCTTGAGTGTTCCATTACTTTTTTCACTTATCTGGATTGAAATTCAGTTTAGTTTATGCTTAATTAATTAAATTAACTAATTTCTAAGACAACATCTCTTTACAACAATGAGGATACCATATCAAAACTACACAGAAATTAATGTTCGAGTCCAGAACAGAAAGCATCTCTACTGTATATTAACACAAGAATGCTTGGCACTTCTACTAGCAACAAAATTACAAGACACAGGTAAAGCAGACATCTTTTGAGCAATTCCTCACAGCAACAGGAAGTGAGAGTGTACATCAGCACAGACCTATCAGCTGACAAATCACCATTAAAAAAAAAAAAAAAGAGGAACCTATTTAAAATTATTTTGACACCTAAAGTTTCAATAAACAAAAATATCAGTGATCAGCTGATAGATATTATAGAAATTAAACTTTGGACATGTCTTTCACAAATTGGTTCACCTTTTGTAAGACCCTTAAAGCATGAAGATGTACTTTTGATTGAGATTATGTATCAAAATTATTAAGAAACTGATCATATTATCAAAATCACAAGTTACTAACCTTGTTTGATGCAGGTGAAGTCTATAATCCAGCTTTCATCCCAAAACATCTTTTGTTTCTGATATTGAAACCACTACAAAAATAAATCAAATTAATTCCTGATGTAGCCTTACTGACTTTGAAATAATTAAACTAGAGATTATTTTTTTCAAATATGAAAGTTTGTCAGTATCCAAACAAAATCTGATGTTTAAGCATCTGACATATATTTTGAGTAACAATATAACCAAGAGTATTAATAACAGTCTTAGAAGAAAACAGCATCTGGTAAGTGCCCTAAATGCCAGCAGATTAAATTATACAGCGGTTATAGCTGCAGTCAATACCAAAATGTAAAACCCAAGCAGCATTTTACTGTCATTATACCATTTTCTGTAGTGTGGATTTTAATATTAGGAATGATGCATTCATTGAAACAGGTAACAAAAGCCCAGATACTACTCAAGGAACATCGTGTGGAGATTGTGTCAATATTTTGGTAGAAATTTATGACAAATATAGAGCTCACGGAACCAAAATTAAGTCATCCCATTTATTTCAAACAATTTCTGGGAAAAGACATCTACATTTTATCTTGCAAAGGTACGACCAAACAAAGATGTATTAGCTAGAAGTGACCACTAGGCTTGCTACAGATGCTGATACCAAAGGAATCCTCACCTCTGCTTGAATGATTAAAGAAGGCACTAGATTAATTACTGAACTGGTTAAAAGAATTTTTCCTTATCTTGTTTACTTATCATCTAAATAAAAAAGATGTTACTGCAGAAGATAGCAGGAATGAGTGTAAAGAAATGCAAGAAGAAAATAATAAATCTTAAAACCTACAGAAAAATAGCAGAAATAATAGGCAAATTTTGCTACCAGACATTTACATAAACCTATGCAAGACCAAGAAACTCCATTGGTCTTTCTAAAATTCCAATTGTTTCAAACTGTCTGAACTTCTCATTTGTCCAAATATACATTTCTATTAGATCATATGGTTTTACAGCATAGTTACTGTAAACACGTTTGTAAAATGCTCAATTAGTTTTCAACAGTGCTTCCCTTCCTAGCTCACAAAGCCAAGCAGAGAGGCACAGAATCGAGAAAAAATAGAATTGTGATTCAGGCCCCCTGTAGTACCTAATTTGGTGGGTCATCAGCCCTCTCCTGCCCATTCCATTTCAGTGCACTTGCCTACCTCAGATGCTCACTGCAGTACAAGATAAAAAGTGAAGGAAACCCTGAGAAAAAGAGGAGGCTATTGACTTATAGGATTTATAGGCCAAACCACAAACAAATGATCTGTTATCTACATAGTAAATATAATGATTCTACAGCTGCCGTATTCACTTGCTAAATCCTTGTTATAAAATTCAGAAATGTTTTTTTTTTCTCAAGATGGAGACACATAAGGAATGTAGATCCTCTTTGCCAGAAGCACTGTGAAGTCATAAGCCATAGTAGTATGCTGTTTCTGCTTTATAAAGATATTTTCATTCAAAGGTATCCAAAACTACTTATATATTCATACACTCCTCTCTCTTCATTCCCTTTTTGTTTTTCCTTCATGAGTCTGTTATAATAAGGGATAACTACTATGCAAAATTAGTCACTTTGAACTGAAGTAAACTGGTTCAGTTACGCAAAGAAAATGAGCCTATAAATAAAAAACACCAAAAACAACAACAAAACCAACAAACAAACAAACAAAAAAACCAAAGCAGAAAAAAAAGAAAGATCCTCTTCTCATTATTTCTTTTGAGAATATCCCAAGTTGAATGTTTTCCCCTGTAAATTGTATTTGGACTCTGAGATTTAATGGTCTCTGGTGGAGCTAATCCCTTTATGAATTTACCTAATTTGTTTTTGAATTCATATATATTTCTGACCTCCATAGGGTTTTGAAGCAGTAAATTTCATAACAGAGTTTTATTCTGAGTGAAAAGTACTCTCACTTCACTTGCACCCCTTAGTTCCCATGTTGTGAAATACCTCTTCTTCCTTCCCCAGTAGATATCCATCCCTCTGTTACACTCCTCTTCACTCCTCTCTTACAGGATGAAAATTCCTAGTCTAATGAGGTTCCCCTCATGAAAAAGCCCAACAGGTTGTTTCTCTTCCTTCTGCTTTCTTCCACAGCACACAGGTTCTGGACGCAGAAGAAAACCTACCCCACTAATAAGAAAGAGCTCCACTCTAACTAACCAAATCATGGAAGAGAAAGGAAATAGAAGAGGAGAGAAAGGATACTTACTATAATTGTCAAAATGAAGCCAGTGCAGACTAAACATATTGGTAAGGCAATTGCTATCCTAGCATCAGCAGACAGTGGGCACTCCCCACAATCCGCCGGGCAGATAGAGCAGCCTTCTTCTTCCTCACAAAGGCCATCTCCACAGACTGAATAGAAAATGAAATACAAATCAGAATATTTTGTTTCATCCATCCACAAGACTGTATTCAGATTTAAACATATGGTTCTGTAGCTGGGAAACCTCAGAGTATCAGAGAGAATAAATGACAAAAAATCCAGAGATAGCACCCCAGCAGCTGAAAGAATAATCTGAATTTTTAAAGTGGTACAGAATCTCTTTGATCAGATCAGATTGCTAAGGACATCAGAGCCTTTGACATGCTTTGTGTATAAATCAGTCCATCACTACTCTGTTTCTCGTGGTCCATCTGTTTTTTTCTGAGACTTAAAATTCCTCAAGGCAGGGCTTAATCCAGTCCTTGAGATCCCCAGAAGCTGGTCACCCTTCCTTGGCAGCAGTAGAAGACAATGGGTATTGCAGAATGAAACCTTGCAAACCTTACTGCAAGGATTTCTTTTTCTCCAAGGTGTTAGGAAAATCACCAGGAAAATCAGACGTGATTTGAAACAAAAGCCCTGAAGGACAAAACTCCTCCTCGCATGTCCTGAATGGTGTTTCAATTTTTCCTTTATGACTAAACTAATATCATGCTGTACTTCAGCCTTCTGAGACAAGCTGAAGGTATTATTCTGTTACTATGTATCATATTTTTTTTTAAAAAAAGCCTCAACAAAACAAAATCCACTGCTCAGTATTAATTCCCCCTCAGTCCATTTGACTCCAGTATAATACCAGGATAATCACAGAAGTCACTTTCTGCCTCAGGGGTAGAGCTGCACTTTTAAAATTTCTTTTCTGACAAATTTTAAGTTTCCTGGAAAACTCAGCTAGAGCTGTCTTGAAATGAATAGCAAATTCTGTAGCTAAATACTTCCATCCATATTGGAGTTCTTTGGTTGGTTTTGGTTGTTTTGTGGTTTTTGGTTTTTTGTGGTTTTTTTTTTCATGACATCAGGAAATATATTCTTAAACTTCCAGAAGCTAACAAGTCAACTGTGATAACGTATTTTACCCAATATTCTTCTTCAGATTGTGTGCTTAATTTATTAAATAAAGTCTACTTTTTAAATTTTACATTCCTAAGAGAATTGTTACCGTTATTTCTGCTTCCCTGCATACAGCTATACTAAAGTGAATGAAAAGACTGATGCCTTTGGGAGCAACTGAATTCTAATGTGAACAAAGGAAGCAAGATGGATTTCTAACTATCCAATGTGCTTATTGCAAGTCTGCTCCCCTTCAGGTGAAGAGCGCCCAGATCCTCACAACATGTTAGCTGGAAGAACATTTTCACTTCCCCATCAACTGCAGACAAGCCTTGTAGCACTTGACACCATTGGTTATGGTATTTGACTTTACCTGTTTTAGAGAGTGACTTCCTACTGTTCTAGATTGATACACATCTTACAAGCTCAAACACTTTTTCATGCTCCTGGTATCCATGCATGAATGATGAAAGCATTGAGTTTTACAGTCCGTAAGTAATTCACTCACGTCTTCATTTTTTATCATACCTACTGCAGGAAGGACTGTGGTTTTTGCTTCCAGAGCAACTTGCATTCTCCCAACTCTGATGTGTGCAATGAGAGAAGTCACACCCACGTGAACCAAAACAACCTGCCAAATAAGTGAACAAAGCAGCAAGCATCAAAACTTCACTTTGCATGCAGTTGGGTATCACAACAACAATTGTCCAATTGTGGTGTCTGGTGAAAGAAGGCATGCATTTTTTCAGAATTGGGAAGGATGTGTGTCCTTGACTGGGGAGACAAACAGAAGCAGGGTACACAACCCTTGTGCAAAAGGCAGGTCTCATTTCCTTCCTGCTGTGTGTTCTTTTCACCAAGCAGACCAAGCATTCTGCCATGTGCTTCCCTTCTGCTAGGTAGAAGTCCCCTAATGACCATACACAGCCTACAACACATTCCAGTCAGTAGCGCAATATATTGTTAGTGTAGGCCTTAAATTGACAGATTATGCTATTTTATTCCCTCCCATCCCCATTCCTTGTACTAACTGCCGATGGAGTAGCAGTGGGAAAAGCTGTTACTTCCAAGTCAAGTCAGTTGGGAACTGATGTTACTCATATGCATCACTTACAGACATAACATTGACAAATGAATTAGATGGGCAACATGTACCTAACCTGTACTAAACTACTAGCGAGTAAGCCCTGAAGAGAGCAAACAAAGTAAAATCCTGTAGGCAATAAATATCCCTTACCTTGGCAGTCCAGTTTCTTTGGCTCATTTTGCCAGCTGTAGACAAAGTGTGAGTAAATATCTGGCCATCATCTGGGATCCATGGACCACATATTCCTCCTCTCCCCTTTAACAGACATACTGATTATGTCAGTAAACCATGACACAGTGAAAATTCTAACTCCTCCTTTTTTACTTTCTAAAAATTACTTGTATTCTCAAACAGAAAATAAAGTGATATTTTATAATCAAATAAATAAAAATACCAAAGAACAAGCAACACTGTTCTGTGATAAGATAAATGACAAAATAAGAGAGAAGTGATTGTACTTATACTGAGCAAAAATGTAATTCAAATTTTAACAGCAGTAATTCTATGAAGGTAATACACTGTTTCAGGATTTGCTGTATTCAAACCAGAAACAGAATCATATCCCACTTTTACTATTTTTCCCAAAGGGTTTTATTGCAGTTTCATTTTTGATATTACTTTTTTTTTTTTTCCTTAATGAAGGCGGCAGGCACCTTTTCTGTGCCTGTTTGCAAAGCATTTCTCAATAAAGCTGTTAAGATGTAAACCTCCCAGCAACTGCAACCATAGAGGATTATTTTGGCTATTAGAAGGTCTTGCTTTTTTTTTTTTTTGATTGTTTGAAAGGATTAAGTCTGTCTCCTAACTCCAGATATTTCTTTAGGCACTTCTTTCAATGCACTGTAAGACATAGACAAAATCAAAAGAAATAGAGTTCATGGTAACCAAGGTAAAATATTTTAGAAATCATGAAACTGAAAAAAAAAAAAAAAATCAAACCAACAAAACCTCTTGAATTATGGAAAAAGCTCACATTGAAGTGTCTCTTCATTCTTATTCAATGTTACTCATGGCCTTCTTGCTGTCTGACAGCCAACCTCCTTAGACTTCTTCTAAGTAGGAACGGAAATATTTACAGCATTACAAGGCAGCCAGATGATGCATGTTGCCTACATGCTTTCACCTTTTCCACACCTTAATTCCACGCAGAACTAATTGTGAAATTAAGAAATAATGGAGAGATTACCACAGTGGTGGGATGTTGAAGTTCATTATTATAGTTATAGAAAAAAGCCTTGATGCGGTGATTCCAGCAAGGATTCCTCTTTTAAACCAAAGTCCTGGTATCTGCTAAGCTCCCCAGGGAGTCATTAATAAGAAAGCTCCTTAAGAAGGGACTGCCAAGAAATAAGCTAGAGATCTTGTGGAGACATTAAGCCTTCACACAGAAGGGAACATGAAATAGCCACAGGACGTGAGGACTAGGTTTCTTATTACACCATCTTTGATCATGCAGAACGTGTCAGGTTGCCAGAACGGAGATCAACAAGAAAGACTGGGAACTGCATGAAGGTTGTTATGTAGGGTAAAGCTTACCTTACAGTCAGAAAAATAAAAAAATGAAAAAAAAAAAAGTCCCAAATTGCATTGTTAGAATCAAAATTTTAAATATTCATTTGAAGAGGGACAGTCTCTTACAATGAGCGGCGCAGATAAGAATGGTCTGCTCACATTGCATGACCAAATTTGTTATCTTGAATTTGGATTCCTTTTTTTGCTCTGATCTAATACAGAAAAATCATTCCATCTCAGGACATGTGTATACAGGCTTCAGTTCTACAAGTCACGCCCAGTGATACCCACCCCACTCAACTTCAGTAATTCAAGCAAATCACTCAGGGCCCCTCTATAAGCTGCAGAAACAGTAACACCTCCAACTCACAATTCACCCTGCTTGCTTTAGAATGAAGTGGTCTGTCTTTCTTTCCCTATTGACTGTACAGAGACCTGAGCCAAGCAATCTCCAAGAGATTAAATTGCCCCCACTAAACATAATGAGAGATTCTGTATGTTGCCTTGTCTAAAAATCCAGCCATTTGCTTTGCAGCCTCAGCATCCAGTGTAAAAATTCTAAAACTGACAGACATCCCCGCAGTGGTTTTAGTGAACTACAGATGTGGCCTAATTGTAATCCCTGAAAGACTTTATAAACTTGAACCTTGTTATTACAAAGATTCTCATCCAGTAGCAAGAATGGAGCACCTGATGCTGCCCTGTAACACTAACCATGAAGGCCAAAGGACAGGAATGAATGTTGGCATGGTGGACACAGCAGTTCTCTCCATTTGCATCTTTCCAGCTGGTGGGGCACTCATGGTCCTCACAGAATTCCTTTGCAGCAGTAGCATTGCTAGAAGAGAAACTTTTATAGTCATTCCTCATTCCCCAAAATTGCAACAAGTACATGAGAACCTGTTCTTTATCCTGCATGGAAAAAACAGAGCTGCAAAAACATACACAGTGAAATAAATACTGTTACACTATTTCCTTCTCTTTTGTTTTGCTTCTGGTTGAAGCAGTCCTAGAGCAATGAAGACTGCTGTCAGCCAGCCCACCATCTACTGCCACGTGGTAGGGACTTCTGACAGATACCATGCCGCAAGCAGGTACCAGTGTCCACCTCTCTCCCCAGACTGACTCCATGACCAGATGGGATTACTTGGCACCACGACATCTGGCACAGAAGAAGATACCATTACTCCCACTACCAGAAATACGCGTGCCTGGCTACTTTCATTCTCAGTGTTTTCAATTGCCTACCTTCATCCAAGCATGTGATTTGTACATATCATTCAGCTCCAATCTTTGCTCCACCACCCAAACAACCGAGGAAAATAATAATATTGGACAATAATATCAGACACAATTCCCCAAACTAAAAAAAATAAGCAAAACCTGGACTTTATGAATAGACTGTTCTGCAAAACAAGGTGGACCTTTTGAAAGTTTGTCCCTGAAAGATGAATGTAGTTTCCTGGAAATGTGTGATGAAACATTTTTCCCACTTTTTCCTCAGCTACACTTTCAGTCGTTTATCATAGCTTTAAAATAAAATAATTTTTCACAAGCATGGTTTACTCAATAGAAATAGCCAGACTAAGTTCTAGGGTTTAGTTTAAATGTTTTGCACTTCTGATGGATCTCTGTATTCAAAGCAACAGCAGAACACCAGGCTTTATTTTTCAGGTTTTTTTTTTTATGATAGAAGAACTAGCCAGCAATGAGTAGATTTCAGAAAAGACTACATTATAAGAAATAAATAAAAACATAGGGGATCAGGCTGACGTAGATTGTACTCATGGCCAGATCTACAAAGATATAGACATACTTGAAACCTGAGATAAGTAAATATGTCAATCCCCAAGACATCTAAACAGATAAAATATTCAAATCTACTGGCCTCCGAGCCCATTCTAGGACTTAAAAAAATACTTAGGCAATTGGTGCATAATTCCCTTATATGTTTGTCTTTATGGCTGCTTTGTAAAATTTATCCTGTATTATTTTTCATTCTAGCTTCATCGTGGCTTCATCCAATTATGCTGATACCCATATGTTGACTTGCTAGCATCAACCATATTTGGGTCAGCCACAGTAAGCTTAGGAGTCAAGCAGATAGTCTTCTACTTAAAAAGAGGTGTAAATTTAATCCTTTTGAAAAAGTGCAGCACAGATCTCTCTCTTTTTAATCCACTGCAAATGGATTATAGGCCATCTTTCAATATGAAAAAAACCTCTCTGGATAACAGCTTTTACAGTCTGCACTTTGCAATGTGAACACTCAGACTGGAAGCGGAAAATGAGGGTTTTTCCATAAACATCTCTTACACTACCCAGCACAGAAAGTGGGGAAATGCAGCTGCAGCCCATTGTTGTATATGGATAGAGAACTGCTATGTACAGACAAAAATGTAAAATTAGGGTGTTTTAGCCTTTTAGTGATCTGGAGATATGCACATAAAAACTCTGTACTTAAAGATACCAACACAGTCTCTGAGCTGATATATAAGCTTTTGGACTGATTTCAATCCCACAGAATAAAAAGTCCATCTTGAATTCAGTGAATTCAGGGTTGGGCCAGCCTCTTTTTCATATCCATGCCATGCGCTTCAAACACATGTATGATTATAAGTATAGGACACAGATAGTTTATGGCTCCTGCTTAAACTTGATTTGTAAATTCCTTGTGTAGAGAAGGCAAGAACTGATGTTCAGAGTTGCACTGATACAGTAATGCAGATACAGAATGACATGGTCTATCCTTGACCATGCGGGCAAGCATGCCATGATGGCTGCTCTGAGAGACAAGCCATTGCAGAGGAAATACTTGGGGAAACAGAGCTATAAGAGACCTCAAGAGATACAAGGGATTAGTGAGGAGCCCCAGAGTATGTGTTCCAGTTATGTTACTGAAAATGTACACACAGAATCCTCACACATTTATGACCATGAAAGCATTTCTATAGGAGGTAATACCTGTGAGAAAGGATTTTATTTTGCACTGCGTATTGATAAAAGCCATCTGAAGCAAAAACTGCATAGGTCACATTGAAGAATTCCCCACTCACAGCCTTTTCTGGAGGCCTTTGTACCCACGCCATCTCCAGGCCTAGAAACAAGACAAACATGGATCAACATATATGCTATACTTTTCTACTTTACAGATGCATAAAAATGTAAAACTTTCTCTGTAGTGATTTTCAACTGTTCCTATTCCTTTTAACGAGCCCAAGCCAGTCATCCATTTTAGTGGCTGTATAGGTTATCACAAATGCACACTAAGTGAACAATTCTGACACACAGAGAAAAGATCAAGCAGTTGGAGAAATATGACAAAAAAATCTGGTTATCTTATCTAAACTAAACGCCCAGTATAATGCAGTGCTGCTTGTCCTGATACATTTGCTTTCCTCTTTGATGAGACAATAAACATTGCTCTTCATTCTTGGCTTTCATTGAGGTGCACCTGATTATGGAAGAACAAAAAACTCTAGCACACATGAAATTCAGTCAAAATCCTTACCCTCATGAGACATAAATTATATATAGAAATAATTATATATTTAAGAAAGCTTTCTCATTTTATAAAACCATATCACAGAGGACAGTGGAAGAAGTGCTTCTCAGACATTTCCACACTCTTACTGGGAAAGATAATTTATCCCAGTCATGTCTTTTGTCCCTAGGACACTTTATTACCTGCTCTAAGCCTGGGAATGAAGTATGATAAGAGGTAGGAGAAGTTTTTAATCCTTATTTTCAAACAACACTATCAAAATCTTCCCACTCCATTCACCTATATCTTTCCATATTGTTGGATGAAGGTTTTAATTCACGTCACATCAAATTACTTACATCATCAAAGTGTGTAGCTCTCAGTTTGTCAGGAAAATTTAAATCCCTTCTGCAGAGGAAGGGTAAACCTGCATTTCAAGTGGTTCTAATTTTTTTGTTGTTGTTCAGTTACAATCTCATATTACTCTGGAGTTGTTTTTACAAGTGTATTCTTCAATTGCATTGTTAGTGAAGCTGCTATTTTTTCCCCTAAACATAATTCCCTTTCAAATATAAAGAAGCAAATTGTAAAATAACCTCTTGCTTTCACATCTCCCTTGAGAAGTAAACACTCATTATAAATGCTAACACCATGAGAGAAACTGCAACACAAAGATTTACAAAGAAAGCTAGTGTCATTTGCACCAGAAGGTAAGAGAGGGCTGAGCTTCAGAGAATGTGAGAGAATGAAGGCAAAAGGTCAGAATGTATTTCAGTTAAATTACTTTCTACTTGCCTTTAAAGTCATCTGTTCTAATAAATAGTTGTTTCAGTGTTAAAGCAATAGTAAATTCATATAGGGATAAAAGTCTTAGTTGACAATCATCTAGATAGTCTTTGAATTTCACTGTTCACACAGAACTCTCTGGAAAATACTTAATTGTAATTCTGAGCTCAGAGTGTGACGCAGCAGTATACTTTCTGGAGTGTATTAGTTTCCCAGGTGTTCTTGTTTTTTCTAAAAACCTTATTGAAACACATTGTCTCTGGTATTATCTTTTACAACATAAACAAAAGTATTCCTTTACATCAGTTATTTATCAGTTAGAGAGTCACAAAATCATGGAATAGTTGAAACTGGAAGGCATCTCTGGAAATCATTTGATCCAACCCTGCCTTGCTCAAGGTAGAGTCACCTAAAGGAGGTTGCTCTAGATTTTGTCTAGTCGGGTTTTGAAAATCTCCATGGATGGAGAAGCCACAACTTTTCTGGGCAACCTGTTCTACTGTTTGATTACCCTTACAGTATAAAATATTTTTCTTGAATTTAAATTAAATTTCCCATATTTCAGTTGCTCTTTAATTATTTTTCAATCTCAAGCAATCAATTTCCAACATTCAAAAATATTATGTAAATAATATCATGTAAATTCTTGTTCAAAGCTGAGTGGAATAAGTGGGTAAAGACCTCAGATCTTTGTGCTCTCATGGAGCACAGTTGTGAGCAAGATGGAAAAGCATGACGTGTAGAATCAGTGAATTTGCTTACTGGCTGCAGGGTTTAAGCACAGACAACTTTTGAATTGACACTACAAAATTTCAGTAATGACTCAATGGAATTTGCTGCAATGCAGAGCCCTCTGCCTGCTTTGTTTGTATTAAGTTGCATTTGGTTCTCTAATGAGAAATGAAATGTTTTCAGTTTCTTTCTGGGGGAAGGGATTCAGCTGTTTCTATTGCTTTTTCTCTTGGAACCAATGAATATTGGACAAATAATTGCTCTGTAATATCTTTTCATTGTTTTCTTCCACTTCTCTAGAAAGAGAGGTTGTCACTGATTCAGATGCTTTCCATCAAAAGTTAGGTATTATTCTGAGTACTTCAATTTTGGGTTTGTAACTATTCCCCAAGCAAGAGCTGATTTTTCTCTAGCAGCTTTAGAGCTCACTCACCTCCACAGTCCAGCATGTTATACTCATCTGGTTTTTCCAGGGGCCAGCAGTCATAGTCTTTGTTATCTAAATCATGCCATCCCTCCACTAATACCACCTGCCAGAAAAAAAAAAAAGAAGCATATGAATAGAAAAAAGAGAGGGAAAAGAGAAAGGATGAGTTCCATCTCCAAAGTTTATATTTCTTCTAATGAAATCAACCCAAATGCAGAAACATAGTGTGGCATATTTCGCTCTCTTCACCTTCTGGAGGAAAAAATGACAGCTTCCTAGGGGTATACAAACTTGATCAGTATATTCTTTTGATCTATCCTGAAATTAGGTGTGAAACAATAAGAGGACTTAGCTAATCCTTCTCTTGCAGAGTGTTTTCTCTAGGAAGAGTGGGAGTTCTAAATCATACGCAAAGGGACATTTGATTAAAAGAGTGTTTTTGCTATTAAAATGGCACTGTCCTGCTCCAAACTGCTTGGTTTCTGTTAATCTTTTACACCTAAACTCTTTGAATGAGTCATTTTTTGTTATACCTTTAATAACACAATACAACTGTTCATTATATGAATGTTAAAATATATAATTATACATAATGTTAAGATTGCATAAGCCTGTTACAAGTATAATACAGCATCTTAATGGCATAAAGATTGAATTGCAACAGTGGCAGGATATACACTATCCCTGTATATATATTATACATTATAATAGATATATTAATCATGTAATAAAATATACACTCTAGGGTATATATAAACAGAACAGACTATGTTATGATAATGCACCCTGGTTTTATTCCACTTCTAGTAAAAGATAAGAGTTTCTATTCATAGAAAATTCATTGCTATTATTTTTCTATATATTACTTGAGGATAATTATCTACAGTATTATACAGTTACTTATCAAAGCAATCATGGAACAAGATAGAATTATACAACTGATTCTTTCAATATAGTCTTCTATTACTCTTGTTTTCCACATTACTAAAACAACATTCAACAATTGCCTGGTATAAATAGCTGTCTCACTGCAATAAGCCATATACAGTTCTTTCCGTATGCACAGGGAATAAGTTCTGGCAAGCAGATCTTAGGTAGTTTACCTACCAATAAACTGAGGAGGCTTCGGAGCCCTAAGGCTGATGTTTTGCCAGCTCTCATGCTCCCTACCATGCACCCAGCTCACCAAGTGTCAGGGCTGCTTCTGATGTTGCTGCTGCTGCTACTGAATTTGATGCCCTTGCCTGAGAAGGGGAGTTGCTAGGCAAGCTGATCCTGGCAACTCCAGCTGCTGCAGCTGTTCTGCCTCCTCCTTCCCTCATCTGCCCTACCCTGCTTTTTCTTGGTGCAGGTGGAAACACCCTCTCTGAAAAATCGCCACTTGTGCTAGGGGCAGCCCCTCTCTCAGACCATTGAAGTTTGTGCCTCTGTCAGCACAAAGCTGGAAAAGCAACGAGAGGATTTTATTCCCCTACCTAGTTGAATTTGGGCAGCATCTGACCCTTAGAAAAATGAATCAATAGTGTGGAAATAAATGTGGAGGGCCTGGAGGAGGAGAGGTATATAAACTCTAAAGCAAGAAAAGGTCACCTATAAACTGCAAGAGCAGAGGCTGGACTACGTGATATCCTAAGGTCCCTTCCAACCTGTTGTATCAGACCCTATGACTTCAATTTCTCAGTCTCTGGAGGTGCAGGACAACTTGTACCCGAGAAGTGTCCTGTTATACACCCAGGTGAAAGAGACCTCTGCCTAGCTATGCTGGTATGATAAAGACATAGATGTGTCCGTGACTATTTCTGCTCTCTGAAGTCACTGCCAACACAGAACTTCAGTTGTGATTCAGCTCTCACGAGTATTTGCCTGCGTTTTCTCTGGAATTCTGGCTCTCAGCCCAAACTGACATTACTAATCTCAGTCAAAATGCCTGGACTTCGCTATTTATTGCATCAAAATTGCATGAAAGAAATGCAATGTGTGCCCAGTTCATCTTGAAAGGGGTTGTAGATCAATTTAAAAATCTGTTTGGCTTCATTTATAAAAGAGAAATTTGTATAAACTAATACATTGGAATTTTTGTAATGAAATCCTTAAACCTCCTTTGTGTTGTGTCTTCCTGTGCTTCGATATGACCACTTTACCCAAATTACAGGTTTTAATATATGAAAGTCTTTAGAGTATTTCAGCTTGGCTATGTGGTAGAAAAAGAAAAGAAAAAAAATACCCTTTTTTGGCTAGAATTATCTGCTTAAAAGAACTCTACATATATTAACATCTTGGCGAGGTTTTACTGGTGATTTGTTTTAGGATGTCTTGTGCTTAATGAGGAATTTGCTGGCAGGGAAGCTAAGGATTATAACTTGTTAGACCCTACAGCAGCCAAAAGATTACCAGACTGATCCTATTTTCTTTAATAGGACTGTCAAATACTCATATGACATTAATATCAGGATTCAAGGACTGTAAAGATCATACATTACCTTTATAGCTACTTGTCTGTCACTAAATTCAGAATTCCTGGAGAGTGGCCATGTACAAGAAGCTGGTCTGGGAATCCTGAGTATAAGATGGGTGAGTTGGAATGGCTGGTGATTATCTGATTTAACAATCTATCCCAGCACATTACCACCTCTGCATTCAAGCACCGGAAAAGAAAACCAGTGAGGAGCATTTAGCAATATAAATTTATGAACCTTGGAAAAAAGAAAGGATTGATATCTTAGCCAGTAATACATTCTTCAGGTTTATCTACAGCTCTCTGTATATAAAGGAAATCAAACACAGATTTGAATAAAGTGAGATGGTCATCTCAAACCTAATAATCTTTGCTTTAAATTTGTTCCTTTTTCTCTTTGTAAATTATATGCAGTCACATAATTTGCATTAACATCTTAGCATTGCATCATACTATGAATGAGTTTATTAACACAATCAGACTCAGTCCAGCATAGATTAACTGAATTCTGCCTGCTTCCACTTGACTGGCATAGTGCAATATGCCAGTTCTTTGGCTTCTTCTCTTAGAAGGATTTCTTAATCTGAAAAAATAGGTAATTTCCACTGATTGAAATGAAGTTTATAAAGTAACTTTGTACTTACAGATTTATTTCTGTTGTATTGGCTGTGTTCAGATGGTTCCTTAAGCTACATGGTTTCCATTTCATTCGTTAACTCAATAATAACTTCTACTACCAAAGAGAGGGAAAATAAAGATATTTCAAAGTACATATTGGTAGTAGATTTCGTTGTAGATATTGGTAAAACCATGCATTTTAATTAATATTTTCACAATAATCTTATAACTAAAATATACATATGCAATATTTGTGGAAAATAATAACTGTTAAAATGCTGCTGAAGAAAACCTGATAATTATGTGCTTTCAAGTATGTTAGGAAAGCAATTTCCAGCAATATATTGAAACAAAAATTACTGTGATGAAGGCTTCAAATATCCTTGAAAATATTTATTTATTGTGGTATTCAAACCTTCCAGATGCTTCTGGTCTTAGTAATTAGCTGAAGTTCAAATAGAGATGTTTAAACGACTTTACTATTAATTAGATTAACTTTTCTAGCAAGACACTGATTTTCAACAAAAAAGCAATCTCAAAAAAATCACTACCAGGGCTCATTTGAAATTTCAAAATGATGGCAATCCAAATACATCGTTTATCAGAACTGCAATGTCATTTGTGAAATCAGTAGATAAAAATTAAGTTCCTGAAATATGAAACTCCACTATGCAGAATATGTTCATCCTGCATGTGGGCTGCCATCCTGCTCAATGCTACACCTCTCTGGGCTCCCAGCATCTAAAGGGATGTAAGATTGTCTATCCTATTCTCATTTTATCATGTTAGCTCTAAAATAAAAAAAAAAAAAAAAAAGCATTTTAAATGGCGCAGAATCTGAGTCTCTTTTTTACTGGGATCATAAGGATGATCTTAAAGGGCTTTTCCAACCTAGACAATTCTATTCTTCTAGCCAAGCTTCCGATAGGGTGTTTGTTCAGGCGGTGAGCAGGCATGGCCAGAGCACTCTGACACTTCCCTCTAGTGGTTTCATGGCAGAACAACGGCAGACAGACTGCCTCTCGGGCGCAGTTTGGTTTAAGGATTGCCTCCTCTTGATGCACCAGTTGCCACAAACGGAGTACTTTGGAGCAGTGTAGCAGAGAACCTGCCTGATCTCAGGTTCTCACCTGGGAGTCTGGTGGCAGCAGCTGGTGGCCTTCTACTGCTTCCCTTCCCAGCAGCTGAGTGATGCACTGGGCTGCTGCAAGAAACTCCCAGGCCTCCAGCATACGGCCCCCTTACCACAGCACAGCAAGTGATCATACCTCCACTGAGTCCCCACAACCATTCATTTACGCATTTTTAGCTGGAAGAAAGTGTTTTACTGTCCTATGTAATGCAGCCCCACAGGCAAAGGATGTTGATCTTGTCTCTTAATTCCACATCGACACAAACAAGTAGATGTGTCAAAAGAGGCCTTCCAGCATGGGCTTCTTGTCTGCTTTCCCTGTGGTGCTGGTCCAAGCTTTCTGCTGAGATGAACTGGACAGTTGGATCAAAAGCTTGATCTGGTTACAATTGCTCTTTTTTCTTTTACTATTATTCTGCTGCATTAGTTTCAATTGGCACAGTGTTTTTTCCTCTCACCCTTTGTCTTTTCTTATCTCTTCTGGGTGCAAACCCACTCTTACTGAAGCGACACATGTGTTTGTGTGGTTCAGTGAGGCTCGGGCCTCAGCTCAGCCTAGATTAACAAAATTAAAAAACAAGATCTGATTTTCTTCAAAATTCTTGGTAATTTCACTGAATTTCACTGAATTTTCACTGAATTTTTAGAGTTGGAAGGGACCATAGAGATCATCTAGTCCAACTCCCCTGCTAAAGCAGGACCACCCAGAGCTTGTCAGAGCATGTTACTCAGGACGGCATCCAGGCAGGTCTTGAAAATCTCCAAAGAAGGGGACTCCACAACCTCCCTGGGCAGCCTGTTCCAGGGCTCTGTCACCTTCACCGTGAAAAAGTTCTTCCTCATATTCAAGTGGAACCCTTGATGTTCCAACTTGTGTCCATTGCCCCTTGTCCTCTCA